TGTCAGCATATCTGTGTGTCGCTGCCATTTCCGTTTGCTTTTCTTGTGTCCATCTCTCTGCCCGTCTATTATTAAGTTTGTCTGTTTGCCAGTATTTATATCTGTGTGCCGCATGTGTGTCTTGTATTATTTACTGTGTGTCTGTTTCATTATCTGTCTCTCTGAACAGCTGTCCATAAATTTAAAGCTTTCGTGACTCCAGGGATTAATCTTCTTGGTTCTTTCGGTAAAGTCACGTAGAAGGGAAATAATAAAATAATAAAAATAAAACATAATAAAATAATTCTCACGACGTTTCGGCCACAACGCAAGCAGCCGTCCTCAGGTGAAGAACAGGGCTGTCGGAAAGACAGCGTCATTCGGACCGCGTCAATCGGACGCTGTCTTTCCGACAGCCCTGTTCTTCACCTGAGGACGGCTGCTTGCGTTGTGGCCGAAACGTCGTGAGAATTTTATTTTATTATGTTTTATTTTTATTATTTTATTATTTCCCTTCCACGTGACTTTACCGAAAGAACCAAAAAGAGCTGTCCATCAGTCTCTTTTCCCATACATCCATCTGTGTTCTTTCATGTCCATTTGCTTCTGTCCGTCTCTTTTACAGTGTGTTGGTCTATCTGTCTGTCTGTTATATTTGTTCACCTCTCCGCGTTGCAGTCTACCTGTCGAGCGTATTTACTTCCAAGACGTTCTCCCCATCTGTTTCTCTCTTTGCATGTGCCACCCTGTCCACTTTCGTGGTTTGCTGGGGTAAGATCTAAAGGCTGCATGGTGGGAATACTATAAGTGGACCTTGAAGGTCAAATGTCGACTATGTAACAGTTGAGGGATGCAGTAGGTGTGGTGACATCCATGGCAATGGCCGCGACGACCTATTGACCTTGACGAACAATATCAATTGTATGTGAAATGACCAGGGGCAGGCGCAATCACCATTCCCCACCAATGGGAAATAAAATATACGGCAAAAGTGCAACTGCGGTGCACGGCAAAGAACGGCGCAATCGTATCGTGAGCTCGCGTCCACTGTGAGCGCTCTCTCCCAAGGGCACCGGTGGGATGTACTCCTTATCCTCCGAAGCCAGCAGCTGGATTCACAACTCAAGACATCCACGTTAAAGTTGCCACTCAATTCATATCCACGTGAAATAGAGACACAGAGAGAGATAAGACCACTTTTTTTTTCTATGTGAGTTTACGGAAAGACCTAAACAATAAGCATGAACACTTCAAGAAATATTATAAGCTTTTAGCTGATATCCTTTAAGGGTCTATCTTATACAAAAACTACACTATTAAGTTGAAAGTTGTTCTCTATTTGCCCATCGGCTCTTGGGCAGGTGGTTCGATGCCTGTATGGTTTGGATCAAGAATCGCTATTTACAGAAGCATCGACGCGCCATCCCAGCCCCGAGTGACAGAGCCCTTGCCGCAAACGCCGGGATTCCCCACATCAAGGGAGACAAAAGACTTACTTTAGAGAGCAGCGCTCACTGAAGTGGTCAACTGGAGCTTGTGAAAACGCTTGCCAAGTGCCGACAGCAATAAAGCACACTTGCACGTGACCCAGTTTGTCTCACTCCATGCTGTGCTCAGTTACTGGCTTTATTAATCAATCACACACACACACGTGCGCAGGCTCATCCAAGCCAGATACATCCTTACTCACTACCAGTGACACCGCACCGGTCTTCTATTCAGTAGGCTTGTAACAATCTATCCCCCCCCAGCGATTTGATGAGCTGTCACACAATTCGGGGCTGCGATTGATTCCACGACCTCGTCTCGTATTTACCATCGGAGCTACGGCTGTGGGAAGCAGAGGGCGCTGCAGCAGAGTCCACTGTCTTACTGATCGTCTACGCTCCCCGCGTTCCCCAACCTGCACTGACCGGCGTAGTGAAGCGTGGCCACAGAGTCGCCACGACCCACACATCCTGGGGAGCCCCTCTTCCAGTAGTAGACTGACAAAGGGCTTCATATTCTTGGTTCTTTCGGTAAAGTAACGTAGAAGGGAAATAATAAAATAAAAAAATAAAAATTAATTCTCACGACGTTTCGATTGCAACACAATCAATCATCATCAGGTGTGTTGCAATCGAAACGTCGTGAGAATTGTATTGTTTCATTTTTATTATTTTATTATTTCCCTTCTACGTGACTTTACCGAAAGAACCAAGAATATGAATCCCTGCAGTCACGAAAGCTTTAAATCAGAATTTGACAAAGGGCTGTCACCGTATACACGTTTCGCATCTCAGTTGTATTTCTTTCTCTTTATCTCGCCTCGTCTCGGCAATTTTGTCTAACCCTCCCGTATGCACATTGGAGAAGTTGAGATGGGTCTGCCAGTTTTGATGTCAATTCCAGGTGACATAAGTAAGGAGGGTAAATTGAGATTATTGCCCTGTCTTCATTATTTCATGAGGAATTCCGGCTTTGCGCAGCTTAGATAGCCATCGAATTTGAAAAAAAGTTATAATCCTGTAATTTTGTAGATAACATTAATAAAGAAAGTCTTGCACTCCTTATTTTGCTTGTTTACATCCGGTTTGAAAATGTTGATGTTCCACCAGCAGACCGTCCCAATTTAGAAACTCTACGGGTTCCCAGTCCACACGCATCCAGCCATGTAAACAACCCGCTCTGTCAACGCCGCATTTCTCGGAAGAGATTTACAGCTACGAGGCCTCGGCTCAGCCTCCCCTGCAAGCTCCATCTCGGCAGCCAGATATCAATCCCTCATTCGCATATGCAGTCTGTTCTCCTGTAACGCGTGTTTTCACAACGCACATTGGATATAACGCGATGAGGGTATTAGGGAACGCATTTTTTCATAACGCGGATGTGAATTTGACATAACGTGATTGAGCGAACAAAACTACGTCGCGCGAGTAAACATAAGCGGTTGTATGGCCGCCTCAGCGTAGCATCACCACACAAGGTATTGGGATGCTGCTGGATGCTTCTTCCATGCTACCCACGTGCCTCAGTCTTTGTTCGACCTACATACGCATCTTAACTGTTATCGCGGACTGTGCTTCACCCTATAGTATATATTATTTATTATAACGCAATTTTACATAACATGGTGTTTTTCAGAAATGCAACTACCACGTTATAGGAGAAGAGATTGTATTAGTATGAAACGCATAAGAGGTGCAGCCCTGTAACTGCTGGCTCACGTCACTGATGGAGGAAGGACCTTCGCCAGAATAATCTCTAGAGAGCCCCTCTAGAGGGTGTTTGGTCTACTCTTCCGCGTTAGCCAGATGCCTTGGAAGAGGTGGCAGTACCCACACTTTACCCCACCACACACGTAATGCCGACTGACCAACTGCGGTAATCCCATGCATAGTGCTGGATAGTCAGAGGCTGAAGAATTAAGAAACTTGTCCTGATGTTTTAATTGCCACGGCGGGAGATTGAATCGAACCATCGACCTCTGGATCGCAAGTAAAGTGCACTAACCCATTATACCGTGGCAACAGCCAATAACAGTACAATTGTCGAATAATAGAGAATGGATTCTATAGCCAAACCAATTATATATTCCAGGAATTAGTGTCTCAGACAAAAGGGCAGGACGTTCCACATGACCCATTTTAAGAACCAAGGGTCTGCCATTTCTTCCATTGGATTTGTTGATTGATCATGGCTAATGAGTCAGAGTACTCTCTTTTAGAATGGTTCTGCATTGGGTTATAAGTTTAACATGTTTCCCACCGATTAATAATGAGCACCTGGAGCAAACCCACGTGCGCGAGGGGGCAACACTATCCCCATACAGATGGAAACAGATGGAGATTAGTTGACTTGCTGTACTGCCTTCTGGGGAGCCAGCGCATGGCACTTCCTCGACGCCTACGAGAAGGGAGCTTCACAAAATGTGTGCGATCCACAGACACTCACCTCCAGTGCAGCATAGCCACCACTGCCCGGCTATGTCCGCCGCCTGGATGATGATGATGATGATAAAGGTATCAAATTATTATTACTACGCTTGTTTACCCAGGAAAGCCTCAACGACTCTCGTGACTCTTTTTCAAGAGGAGCCACAGTAATAACCAGGGCGGGTCAAACCACTGGATTGAACCGTGAACTTCTGGCACAAGCGGCGAACCCTTCACCCCTTACCCATGTCAACGCCCCCATTTCTAGATTCCCCATTCAACCTAAAGGTCACTTCACGAGCCTAGGAAACTCGTATTCTGTCTAAGAGAGCCAAAGGGTTTTTTTGTTCAATCGCAGTAACTTTCATCTTGGAATGGAATCAATGTATTCAGTACAAGGGGCACTTGCTGGGAATAAAGAACCCTTCTAAACACCAGACACCGTGTCTACGGCTGCCCTCCTCAATGTTGGTACTTTCAATAGTTGAAAAAAACTTCCGCTAGACTACGTCGCTGACAAACACGGACGCTTCCAAACCACCGTGTCTGGCGGTGGCCACTGTGACATGTCTGCAATGAAACACAGAAGCCATGGCCGCGAGGCATCTGGTGTGAAGGGAGGGAGGCAGGGGTGTGTTTGCAGAGCACGACTGCTCCCTGGTGAGAGAAACTGCCCTTCCGAACACAGACCACAAAGCACCCTTCACGTGAAACCACTCGGAAAGCATAAATTCCGATCATTTCAGGGGCTGGCTGACTGGCTGGCGAGGGATCACGAGGTCATCGTGGCCAATGCCACTGATGCCACCACAACTCACCACTGCTTCCTTCCTTCTGCCGGATTTTGACCTCAAAAGCTCTGCTCTGAGATCTCATCACCGCCATCGCCATCTGGCTTTAGATCTTCTGCTTGGTCATTAGCTTGGTGCCAATATTATGCCTAACGGTAAATGGGCCTTGCCCTCCCCCCTCCCCCACCCGAGACTCCTCTGTTATACGGCCAAAGCTCTGAAATGTACGAACGACAGTGGCGTTACTCCCACATCTGCCGTGCTTAAACGGGAAGCCCAAGTGCACAACGGGTCTCCTCCCTTGCCCGGAACTGACCGTCAATGAGCAGAGGGTTCCCCAGGTATCGCGACACGAGGATGTTCTCGTCCATCGTCACCTGGTTGGGCTGCAGGTAGACGAGCAGATGGAGAAGGCAACACGTCGGGATCATTATCGCCATCGTAAGCATCGGCGGACATCACCAATAGCGGCCATCGTTGCCGAGGTTTTAATTTGTGCTGTATGTGGGTAAGAAATCGAATATGAGACGTGCGTTCTTTGGGTTGCGTCCGCTTTTGCTTTTCTTTGCTTTTTTTAACAAAACGCGAGCTCGTTCCAGCCCGCCACACGGCTCACAAAACCGGGAATCAAAATTCGCCGAGAACTGTCACGACGCAACTGAGCCGTATATGGGGGGGGGGGGGGGGGGGGGGGGGAAAGGTGGGGAGAGGGGTCCGCTGCCTCAACTAAATGAGGATGCCACGTCGGGGAGAAGATGAAAATTTAAATTGGGGAGGGGGGGGGAGGCGGATGACAGGGGAGAGGAAGTATAACCATCGTAATGAGGACAATCTGGGGTGGGGAGGGGGTTGCATCTGCTTTTAAAACAACCACCACTTACGCTGTTGACGAGGTAGACTCCTCGTCCCCGTGACGACGCCACTGGTTTCACGATCCACGGCCCCCGGTCTTTAGAGTGGGCGGCTACACAAATTGCAAATGGAAAGATAAGTCGGTACGATCAAATAGAGCAAATTTACTATGTCAACGTTATATTTATTTATCATTCTTTTTTTTATTCATCATTGATATGTGGTCTAGGCCACCCCATGATCTGGCCAAATTTGTGGAGTTAAGCCCCTCCATCACGCGACATAGCCAAGAAAATGTAATTGTCACGCGGTATACAAGTGTTTAACGCGCTAATTATTATCCATAATAACGAGACATTCATGTTCACGCGATCTAACTCAAAAAACCTTTATTATCGAAAATATTGGTCGCAAAATCTCACATGTTAAAACTGGGCTAATTATTGTTTTATCAGCTGAGCGTAACGTTTGAAGCACAATTTTAACAACCAAATTTAGCGGCAAATTAAACTCGACATTTCGCTTCAGACCCAGGAAGTCAGAAAAAAAATTCAGGAAATCAGACGAACTTTATTTTAGCTACGTTGGGTGGTGGCGGGTCATAATGGCACAAATTTGGCCGGATTATCACGTGGCCTGACCAAAAATCACGTGTTATAAATCGTAATATTTGCTGGGAAAACCCACGTGTCAAATGCGATTTATATTGTTCGCACTATCCCCATTGGTGCCATGAGACAAAGCGTTCATTCGAATCTGCCACAGTGCAAGTACAAACCCTCGCGTTTGAGATGATGAAGATGTCAGTGATGACTGCGATGGTGTCAATAATGATAATGGCGATGAGGGTGGTGGAAAAGACGGATGACAATTTACACGACAACAATAATGGTGATGACAATTATATAGATGATTTGAATATGGCGATGATGGTGATGATGCTGGTGATGAAGGTGACAATTAGAATGAAACTGATGACCATGATCATTGAATATTAAAATGATTACAATTGTTCATCCAGGAAAACCTCACAGGGGTCCTGCTGTGTATAATCCAATTGAGAAATTTGCAGGTAATTTTCTAATTTGAACCATGATGCAGATATTTTTTTCACTATAAACTAAACAATTTTTTCTTATTTTACCAGGCAAGGCCCACTGAGCTATGTAACTATTTTTCAGAAGCGACCTGGCCACAAATTATAACTCAACAAAGTCACTTATCACGTGAAAATTTATAGCAGCCAAATTCTCTAAACGCACATTTCTAAATATGGAGGGAAAACCACAAAGGACGGACGTGGTGAAAAATCCACACAACCACGGGGAGAACATGCAAACTCCAAATATACAGGCATCAGGGTTGGGATTGAACCTATATACCAGGCGAAGTGGTTAACATCTCGCTACCATGGCGCCCTCAATGGCCTCGTCTTGTGAATGACGTAACGGGATCTTTAACGTCCAATGTGAAGTTTAATACACCCACAAAGTTATTATCAGGGCAGCCGCTGGATTCTAAGCGCGAACCGCTGCAACGAGTGGTGAAGGGGTGACCGCTAGGCCATCCTCAACCCAAATAAACACTCAGATACCACTGGTCAACACACTTTTTCTGGCATAAGGTATTCCAACGGTTTTAAGGTAATTTTAGGGTGCAGATTCCAAATCTGGCATCAGTTTTTGTCTATCACATCAGGTTTTTGAGATATAAAATATTGCATTTTCAATAAAAACTGCAGAAGAAAAATATTAAATAAATGTGGATATCTACATAAAATGATATTATAAACACACAATCCTAAAAACACAGCACCATATTTTATCACTAAAGCAGTCACTGACTCGCAACAGCTTGCCATCATAAGTGACAGAGTTAATTTCGGGTAAAATCAATGAAAATGGGGTATGCCGATAGCATAAAAATGAGATGTGATAGAGCAAATCTGAGATCAGATTTGGAATCAGCACTCTGAAAATAGTGAAATTAATAAATTAATTTTCAATTAATTGAAAAAAAACAGCTGCAAAAGTCCAGGCCAGAAAAAAAATGTTTTTTTTGTTGACCAGTGTAATCCTAGAGATGACTGGCGATCATGATAACGATGCAGCTGGAGATGATGATGACAATGACAACGCTGCAAATGATGACGATAACCATGCAAAATGACGGCGATCTGATCCGTGCTCTCACAACAGAAGTCCTGATACTCGGCTGGCAGCAGGAAGGTAGGCGGGGATATGTTGAAATGCTTATGTCCATGGCTCTGCTGCATGCGCTGCACGTTCTTGCACAAGCGGTCTTTACGAGTCAGCTCATACGACCTGCACACACACACACAACAGACCTTAACAGACTGTTGGGGAAAAGTGCTGTTAGTGAGTACCTATGAAAGCTGGCACGGAACACGAGCAGGTGGGTGGTCAGCACCACACCTGACCGCCGTTGTGTCCCCAGTGGCGATGTTTACACATCACATCAGGTACGCATTTGAGGCTGAGTCGACTTGGAGATCGTCACTTGTGTTGGCTGTGATCGGGAATCGAAATTGGGTCGCCAGGTTCGAAGCACAGCACGCTAATCGCTGACCGACCACTCCCTACCACACACACATACACACACAAACATTCCTAGTTTACTATTATAGCCTGGAGGGCGCTGGTGCCCCCCAGCAAGGCCATGGTAAGTGGTCCAGGGAACTGCTGTAGATACAATGATTTATCATAAAACACAATACTTTTTACTGCTTGGCGGTTGTAAAAAATATTTAAGGGTTGAAGGTGTTTCGCAGGTGCAGAAAGGTTGGGAAACTGCTGCTGTGGGTAAAGGTTATTTTAGCGAGCACCTATTAAGGCCAGCAAGGCATGCACGAGAGGATGGTGTGGCCAGCACCATAACTTTCGTCTCCCCAAAGTGCTGACGTTTACACAACAGGTACTACTTTCAAACTGAGTCGACCTAGGGAGGACCCAGGACTGGTTATGGTATCTTGACGTAAAGCTTTCGTGACTGCAGGAATTCGTAGTCTTTGAGTCTTTCGGTAAAGTCACGTAGATAGGTTCAAAGAAAATAACAAAAAATTACGACATTTCGATCGCAACACAAGCGTTCGTCATCAGGAACACTTGTGTTGCGATCGAAACGTCGTAGTTTTTTTTATATTTCTTTGGACCTATCTACAGTGACTTTACCGAAAGACCCAAAGAATATGGTTATGATATCATTCGCCACTGATATTGGACCTTATATTGTTTGCCTTGTCCATATGCAGTCACTTTATATACATACGAATGTTAGTCATAGTTATGAATAAAACTCGGATTTTTGAGTTTGGAGCAAAAGTGCATTTAACCACTTGTGCCACCAATCCCCATACATAGAACACGCACACACACGCGCGTTCATTTCAGCAAAACACACACACGTAGCTGTATTCATGCAAGTCCCGTCTTGGACGAGTTAAGCCGCACCTCCGAATAGCACGGATGCCCACGTACGGTGCAAAAGAAGATCCTACATATATACAAGTCAACGCCTCTCGCTGGCAAATCAATGATTGAGGCACTGCTCATCTCCGTTTGGCAGCTCTGAGCCGGTGGTGGGAATTCCACAAATGTATGACTGGGAGCCAGTCTCTCCACCGGACGCCCACTGTCCACTCGTGATGACGTATTATCCGTGTCAATGATTCCAGGGGGGAGATCACGATGGGCCGAACCGCAACCCTCAACTGGGACTTTCACTCCCAACCTCCCAACCGGCAGCCAAGTGCTTTCGAACCGTAGCGGACCACATGACAGTGCTGCCCACCTGGGGAAATGGTTGACCTTCTGGAAGTCGGTGAGCGAGCGTAACGAGAAGGGCTTGGGGTGAGTGCCCGTCCACATCAGGTTGAAGTCATTGCTGCTCGGATGAACCTGTGTATTCAGTAGGAATGAGGATGGTGGAATGGTTCAATGACAATTTACATGGTGATCATGATAGTTGTGAAAATGACGTAGATGATTATACAAATGGTAGTAATGCAGAGGATGATCAAGACAATTACAGTGAAGATAATAATTATGATGGTGATGATCGTGACCGTGATCTTTAAATTTGATCATGATGATGATGCCGGAGATAACGATAACCATATTTAATATAATGCAGCCTTCTGATCCATGCTCTCGCAAGAGAAGTCCTCCTACTCTGCAGACAGCAGAGATACGAACACTCACAAACTCGCTCACATGCACGCACTCTCACACAAGTACTACCGCACACACACACACTCACATTCTCGCATACCTGCTGTCATGCTTTGGCGCCCGCTCATAATCGCTCACCCTCGCTCACCTTCTCACTCGCACTCACGTGCACTTACAAGCACTCACACTTGTACGCATGCACTCGTACGCAAGGACTTTCGCTGACATGCTGTCCGCACACCTCATGGAAGCCATGGGAGCCCAGGATGTTCCTCACAAGCCGACTTTCAGTCCGTACAAACTTGTAGGCCAAGTGGTAGCGTTCTGCACACACAACACCGTCATCACCACCAACAGCATCACCATTATGTTGCTTTAAGATGTTCTCGGTTCATATTTTGTTTGTTGCGGTTGCACCCGACTCAAGAGCCGCATGGCTCACAGGGCTATACCTAATGAATGAAACTTGAAATAAAATTTAACTAAATTCATTACCCTTGATTCACACTTATCAATATTAAAAACAATGTTTTTATTTTACCAGGTAACGTCCACTAAGTTATACAGCTATTTTTCAGAATTGACTTCGCCATAAATGATAGCTCAACGAAGTGGCTTATCGCGTGGAAATATATAGCAGCCAAATACTGTAAATGTATGTTTCTAAAAGTGCAGGGAAAAACCAGAGCACCCGGAGAAAAATCCACGCAACCACGGAGAGAACATGCAAACTCCAAATATTCGTTCTGCAGGGTTGGGATCGAAACCACAACCTCCTCCATTACCGGGCAAAGACTGTTAGCATTTCATTACCGTGGCACCGCATCACCACACAATATCTCACAATGGCAAAGTGTCTTCCTTCTCAAAGCGGGCGTGATGGGTGGCCATCTCGATTGCTGACACTGAGCCAATGTTGAGGTGAGTGTGCAGGGTAGCGGCATGGATTATCTAGTGTGCAGGTGGTACAGCTTCGCCCGGGCCCACGGGACGGTGCGGGGGGGGGGCATGCGCGATGCTTGGAAGGCAGCGGGACAAGTGTTCGTTGGGGGCCCTGACACTGCTGGCTGAAGGCAACATTTGCATTTGCCCAGAGTGGCAGATTTTTGGAACTACTGGGAAGAAGCAGCAACGCCAAGCTGTGCAGTAAGGTGGCTGTTATTGGTGGGAGTGTGCACGTGCAGTAAGTGTCACTAAATGTTTTGAGTGTGCATTAGCTGCGCTGTAATAACTGCATTAGCTGTGCGGTAAGTGTGCTGTAAATGATTGGTAAGTGTGTATTAACTGTGCAGTAAGAACTGCATTAGTAAATGATCGGTAAGTGTGTATTAACTGTGCAGGAAGAACTGCATTAGTAAATGATCGGTAAGTGTGTATTAACTGTGCAGGAAGAACTGCATTAGCTGTGCAGTGTGCTTTAAATAATCAAAAACTGTGCATTAACTGTGGATTAAATCTTGACGAAGCTTTCGTGACTGCAGGAATTTATACTCATTGGGTCTTTCGGTAAAGTCACGTAGAGAGAAAAATAATAAAAAAATCACGACGTTTCGATCGCAACACAAGCAATCGTCCTTAGGTGAAAAATTTATATATTTTTTCACCTGAGAACGATTACATGACTTTACCGAAAGACCCAAAGAGTATGTGGAGTAAATGTGAATTTAATTGTGTAAATGTGCATTAGCTGTGCGGTAAGCATGCTATAAATGATCATCAGTAAGTGCACATTTTCTGTAGAGTAAGTAATGCATTAGCTGTGCAGCATGTGTGCTTTTAATTACCATAAAGTATGCATTAACTGTGCGATAAGCGTGCATTAAATAGAGTAAACGTGCATTTGCTGTGTGGTAAGCGTGCTATAAACGATCAGTAAGTGTGCATTAGCTGGAGAGCAAGTACTGCATTAGCCGTGCTGTACGTGCTCACCTCCAATCGTCTTGAAGGCCGGCTCCGAGCCCACGATGGCGTCGGGATGGAACAGCAGCACGGGGGTCTTGTGGGCGCTGCCCACCCATTGCACCACCTGGCTGTGCTCCCTCTCCAACCTGCGACACCACGCGCAGACACGGCCACCGCTAGCAACAGCACGAGCAGCAGCAGCAAAAACAACAGCAGCAGCAGGAGCAGCATCGGCAGCAGGAATTGCAAAATATGCACAATCACATAATAGATGACTGAGAAAAAGATGGACCGATGTAGTGGAGAATGCACTCGAATGGAAAGGAACGACATAGAAATATCAGCAGCAAATGGGATATGATGATGAGGATGATGATCGGCAACTGTGAATGACCACTGCTGCTGCCTCTGCTGTATGTTCATGGGCCCAGCGGTCTCTGCCAAGGAGCAGGACGTAAAGAAGACAAGGTAATACATGGGCCGAGTTTCATTGTGCGGAAATGAAGAAGATAAATCCTTAGCAGGGGTCACTAAAATTCTTGCGAGGGTAAAAGAGGTGGGATTCAGATGCCTTGGGCACGTGTTGAGAAAAGACAAGACATTGCAACTACAAGTGCGATGGAGATGCCAGCGACGCAGGGCGGAATGATTTGAGTGACAACCTTGGTCTACGTCACTTGAATAAATAAAAGTGATGGACTCAAGCCACACTTGCCAGAGAAACCGCATCTCCATCACTCATCAACTATTTAACGTGGGCTTGAGCCCATCGAGCCTGAAAGCATCCTTATATAGGGGAAGCCTCGGTCCCAAAGCAATGCAGCGTAAGACAAACAATGGAAACAGAGGTCCTCACGTACTCTGTATCCTCGTCAGATGAGGCGAGACTGCTCTCCGAGCCACTGCTGGATGCGGACGGCATTGTCGTCACTCAACGGCGTCCTCCTCCTCCTCCAAAGAAAAAATAACGTCGGTTCCTTGTAGGAATTAACGTTGGGAGGTCGCTGTGGGATGATGGTACGATACGGCCACAGCAATGCAGTCACGCCAAGTCTTGCAGGTCTCCAGCACACGGTCTCTTCTTCTCACGGTGGAATGATCGAGGAGTCGTTGTTTGATTCAAGTGGTATTTTTGATATCCGAGTTAATGTTTCGGCTCGTATAATGATTAAGGTTACTGCATCTATGAAGTCAAACCCCACGGACTCATGAGCTCCACTGGGCACACAAAGGCACAGCCTTCACCAAAGCGTTCATGTGAACTATAAGAGGTAGTGCTGAACTGGCAAATCATCACTGTGCTTCGAGGACCATTCAAGTACACTGCACATAGTGCTAAATATAAATGTAAAAATGTATTCACCGCTTCAAAATGATCCAACAGCCACTTAACACAAAGGCACTCCAATGACCTTAGCTAACTGCCCTGTGACTATATTAATTACAAAATTCCACGTAATCCGAACATTCACGGTGGTGCTCAGTGCAAAACGCAATTACTTTTTAAATGTTTGGAAATATTAGCCCGGAAAAGCCTCACACTAAGTCTCAAATACTCTCTCTTCAGGAGGGTCCTGCTCAGAGAGTTTAACTAATCGTTTTCATATTAAACATACTTACCTATGTGCAAATGTGCAGTTTATACTGCATTTGAGTACCCACGTGTGTTTCATGAAAAACGTGTCCTGCAAATTCGCTCACTGATGTACGCAAGGTGTTACTATCGCTATGCAGGTTGTTAAATTAAACTTCCCTTTTCTGGAGTTGCAGAGTTGCTGAGTCCCGCTCTAGGATTACAGCGTTGTAATCTTCGCGCCGTCTCCAGGCTGGGTGAGCTGGGGTGACACGGCAGGTGGGGATCGTGCGGGGAGGAGGTCAAGAGGGAAGACATAAAAACCATCAGTAAACATTTGTACTCTCAAAGCAATATCACAGCCAATATTGCTGATGCTGCCACACCTCTCCATCGCTTCCTGCCTTCTGCTAAAACCAGCAACGGTGACAAAGTTAAGACATGACCTCTAATTGTCACCTATAGTTATGTAATGACATATTGAGTCTTTGATAAAAAAAAATATTCTTAGGTTCACAATATGTGCATCGAATTGTGCATCTAATAGTTAATATATTCAACTCTTACAAATTGTATGTGGCTGGTTCACATGACTCCTGTAGCTATAAGGGATTGTACACGAGAGGCAATAAACTCAAGCATGGAATCGTAACAAGTCATCAAATGGTGGAAGGGGCGGTAAGATTATAAATTGTTAATAAAGGTCACTGCCTTCATTGCCGACCTCTGGGTGCCACTCCAATGCCTGTGTAGAGAAGTTACCGACGGACGTACTCGGAGACGGAGGTAAGTTAGGGGCTTCCGCCAGGGTTTATTACTCTTGGTCAAAACTACACAGGGTGCACAACTCCCAGGGGCTAGGGGTCCTACTCTGAGTCTGGGTCCCTGCCGGCTAGCTCCGGTCTCTCTCTCCCGTGTCGGATCGTGGAGTCTGCCGACTCCACCGACCGGAGAGAGAAGCACCTCTTCGGCTACCACCGGCTTCTCCCCAGACTCCCTATTTGATCCCTCTCACTATCCCTGGTTCCCTCTTCACCCTGTTTACTATCCCCGTTCCTATAGTGACCCCGCTTACGTTACGGGGTCTCCCTTATATACCCTCGGAGGGGTGATGTCACGTGCACTGCCCAGCGCGTGCGACCCCACGTCCCGTGAGGTCACCGCACCGGACAGCGCACACGACGCCACCACTCTCCACTACTCCTCTACATCACCCCCCCCTGTGAAAAAAATTCAGCCGACTCGGCTGTAAACAATATAAAAGTAGAGGAGTCCCAGAACCACAAACCAACATATTCACAACCAACCGACAACATCCAGGCAGCATGACAACAATCAATCAAATTTCAAAACTTTGAAACTCTCATCACGCGCTGCCATCAATACAAAGGCGGAATCCCGATGGCCCAGACAACACACACCAACAAACAACAATTGAACAATTGAGCAGCCCAGACAAAACACACCAAAACGGACAATTGGGCAGTCTTAGACAAAACACGCCAACATAACACAATTGAGCGATGAGGGCTGGAGGCCGACGGCAGCGTTTCCACAGGCCATCAACAGAGCGCACGCCTCCCCATGTGGCACGAATCGCCAGGGCAGGCACCGTGCCAGCTAGTGACAGGCCCCGGGAGAGCCGCAGCAGCCCAGCAGCCCAACGCAGCTCCTGCCAGGCGCGCGCCGGCCCGAGCGGCGGCTCCTGCTGCCCATGCCGCGGCAAGATGCAGAGCCGCGGCGTCGGCATGGCAACGCCCAGGCACCGCGAGGTGCGGGGCCGCGTCGTCGCCGGCGGCCCCCACCGCGATCGCTGCAGGCAAAATAGCAGCCTGGTGCGGCGTCGCCGGCGGCAAACCCCGCATGCACAGCGAGGTGCGGTGCTCCGGCGTGACCCTCGGCCCACCCCGCGGCCGCGGCAACTATAGCAGCCGCGGTGGCGGGCGCGCCAAACCCCGCAGGCACGGCGATGCTCGGAACCGCGGCAACTTCCGCGGCGCGGCATCGTGAGGAGCCGCGGCAGCGATGCACGGGGCCACGGCGACACCCGCAGCGTACCCCGCCAGCGCGGCGATGGCCGGAACCACGGCGGCACCCTCGGCAACTCCCGTGGTGCGGCGAGGTGTGGAGCCCCGGACGTACCTGGGGCTCCCCCGGCGGGCGCAGCATGGTGCGGAGCTGTGGCATCGCCGCTGGCAGACCCCGCGCGCGCGGTGTGGCGCGAAGTCGCGGCGGCACCCACGGTGGACAACGGCGTCGCAGTTGCCATGGCAGCCATGGCGCCGACGTGCGGCGTCGCATGAACAATGGCCGCCACCTGCAGCGTCGCAGTTAAAATGGCGGCCGCCTGAGGCGCCCCAACCAACATGGCCGCCGCTGGCGACGTCGCAGGCAAAATAGCCAGCTGGGGCGTCGCGGCGAAGATGGCGGCCGCCTCTCGCGGCGTCCCGGCAGTTGACAGTTGCTCCCATCCCGAGTGCGGACCGGGAGGACCCAACTTCGCCTCCGCGATGTCGAGACGGGCGCAAAGCTGCGCGATCGCCTGCAGGAGCTGCCTCAGCAGGTCTGCAGGGGTGCTCCCCGTCTCCAGCGGTGGTGGCGGCGAGCTGGCACCCCCGCCCGTCGTCTTCTCGGGGCCTGTCACCGGAGCCCCGGACTCCGGGGTCACTGCCGAAGCCTCCTCCCCGCCGTCTTCATCCTCCGATCGTCCCGTCGCTGGGTTCTTGCGCTCCGCTCCCGATGTAAACATTGTAGCAGCAGTGCAGACACTCTGACACCAGTTGTAGAGAAGTTACCGACGGACGTACTCGGAGACGGAGGTAAGTTAGGGGCTTCCGCCAGGGTTTATTACTCTTGGTCAAAACTACACAGGGTGCACAACTCCCAGGGGCTAGGGGTCCTACTCTGAGTCTGGGTCCCTGCCGGCTAGCTCCGGTCTCTCTCTCCCGTGTCGGATCGTGGAGTCTGCCGACTCCACCGACCGGAGAGAGAAGCACCTCTTCGGCTACCACCGGCTTCTCCCCAGACTCCCTATTTGATCCCTCTCACTATCCCTGGTTCCCTCTTCACCCTGTTTACTATCCCCGTTCCTATAGTGACCCCGCTTACGTTACGGGGTCTCCCTTATATACCCTCGGAGGGGTGATGTCACGTGCACTGCCCAGCGCGTGCGACCCCACGTCCCGTGAGGTCACCGCACCGGACAGCGCACACGACGCCACCACTCTCCACTACTCCTCTACACCTGTATTGGTAAGCTGGCCTCCTCGAGTCTGCACATGCGACTGGCTGGCTCATGGAGCTTATGTGTCACGTGGGAAACTCCACCAGCAATACTCAGATCCTGGGTTTCATTCTGGGCTCCATCCACCTTTGATTAAACCAGATTCTCAGGTAAAATGAGATGGTCTAAAACAATATGGGATTCGGCAGAATAATAATGGATTGTCAGCCAAAGTAAGGAAAACCCACTACATAGATATCCACTGTGGAGGAGTGATGAAATCAGCTTATGTGGCAGTGATATAGCAGTTATTTCTGACTCTCTGAGTTGCATTACCTTGTTGCAATCATTGAAAATGTGGTCCAACAAGGACTGATTGCTGATGTACCAACCCTGGTGAGACACTGCCTCACCAACACTTACTTCACCTGGAATGGTACATTCTACAAACAAGATGAAGGTTTCCCAATAGGTCCTCCCTTATCGCCAGTGGTAGCTAATGATTTCATAGAAAATTTTGAGCCAGATGCCATCCAGGCATCCACCCTACGACCTTCCTTGTGGAAGAGATACGTAGATGACACGTTCGTCATCTGGCCACATGGCCCGCTAGCACTGAACCAATTCTTAAACCACATAAATTCCATACACCGAGCCATCAAATTCACCATGGAAGTGGAAAAGGATGGAAAGTTACCATTCTTGGATGTTGTCATCGAAAATGTTTAATCGGCTCATTGGGACACTCTGTCTACAGGAAAGCCACCCACACGGATACCTATCTAAAACCTGACTCCCACCACCATCCAGCCCAGAAGAATTCCCTCATCAAAACCCTACACCATAGTGCCCCCGTTGCATCTCCGACCAACACCACCGAGCCAGTGAACTGGAGCACGTACACCAAGCCCTCAAGATGAATGGATATTCGGACCGTACAATCCACAAAGCTGTCACACCAACCGTGGGGAAAAAAACATCTGAGGACCCAATCAAAACCATCACCTTACCATACATAGCAGGGGTCACCAAAATATTTCCAAAATCATAAACAAACACAAGAACCAAGTTCGATTCAACACAGTACATACAATTCGTGATCTGATCCCATCTGTGAAGGATGTGATCCCTGACATCCAATACCCCGGTGTCTACAAACTAAGTTGTGTTTGTGGCAGTAGTTACATTGGGGAAACTAAGCGACATGTTTCGGACTGCATTTGTGAACACAAGGCGGATCTGAAACACAGCAAGACCAATACCTTGGCCGTGGCTGATCATTGTTTTAACGCTGTGAGCTCACACGATATTGATTTTTCCAAGACGAAGGTACTCTGCAAACCCACTGGCTATCATCAAAGATTTGTTCATGAAGCCATCCAGATATATAAACAGACACAACTTCAACCGAGAAGATGGGTACAAATTGAGCAATCATTGGAAGGACGTGATTAACCAGGTAAAGTCTTAACTTGTTATGTTGTTTCCATCGTTTCTACCGATGTTAACTGACTCTCTGAATTGTATTACTAGGTTGGATGTCTTTGTATTGACAGGCTGGGTGTCCACTGCCCCAGCCTCTGGTTGGACCATCACTAGCTCCACCCACCTACCCTGATGCACCCATCTCAGGCCTATATAAGACCTTATCTCAGCAACTATCTCTCTCACCTGAAAACAATTGCTTGTGTTGTGATCGAAACGCCGTGATCTATTATTTTTTATTTACGTGGCTTGACCGAAAGACCCAAGAGTATGAATTCCTGCAGTCACGAAAGCTTTAAAAATCAAAATCGTTAAATGTCTTTACATTAACAAGCTAAATGTCTCACTAACATAGCCGCTCGATGTGGCGGTGGCTCTCGTTGTTTAATCGGCTGAATGTTTCACTGACACGGCCACCGTTGTGGTGGTTCTCTCTTGCGTTGACATGCTGGTCTCTCTCGCAGTGCAGCGGTCAACGCCGCAGCTTTTTGTTGCCCACGAGGTGGCGTTGTGCCCGGTTCTCTGACACTGACATGCCAATCTGCTCATGAACACAGCCGCTGTTGCGGGAGCTGTCTCACATTGACATGCTAATCTCCAATCTCTAGGTTTTATCAGGCCCTCCCCGATGCTCTTTGGTTCTTTCGGTAAAGTCACGTAGGTAGAAAAAATAATAGATCACGACGTTTCGATCGCAACACAAGCAACCGTCATCAGGTGTGAAACAAACAGCAGGAGGACTGCTAATTACAACTAGCATCATCAGGCAACAGCCTAATCAGTTGTAATTACTTCCAAAACGTCGTACTCAGATTGTAAATGTTGTGGATTTACTCTCCAACACACCGGTGTGCTGTGCTAGTGACGAATTGGCACGTTCTGTTTAAGTGACAAACCTTACTAATTGGCTGTGTCGGGTTTAACGACACATCGATATTTACGTGATCTAACCCAACAAAAAGCTGTATTATGGATACTATGGGTGAGTGCTAAAACCGCTTGATATATTGCACAGTGTGGCTTTAAGCATGCACAGGCACGCATTTATTGAAGCCATGGTAAACACAGATACAGCCTCGTTGTTATACTACTACTGGGTCAGGGCATCCTCACACGAGTCAGCGGTTATTTGACCATACTTCACCACGCTGGTAACTGCGGGTTGAAGGTGGGGAAGCTGAGACATGGGAGCTTAGGGGTGCAGTACAACCTTTTGCTGCACTGCCCTCTGCTGCCCACAGCGTAGTTGTGGGCAGCAGAGGGCATGTGACAACGTGAGTGTATGGTGCGATTGTACACAAGACGATTATCTGAACCGGTCATGGGCCTCCCCTCGGTCGACACAGCCTCAATTGAGTACCTAGTGCAATGTAACTAGGGAGACAAAGGCGACTGGGCTTGGTGGTGGCCACCTCGTGCGCCGGGGTCTGTGTGTGCATCGTGGTCACCCATCCAACCACTATCCAGGCTCATGCCTGTTTAGCTTCTGGATAGACCCTGATACCACATTGAGGAAACCCTGAATAAGTAGGACACATCACCGATAAAAAAAACTTACTAAAGTAAAAAAACAACAAGTCACCACTACGTAAACGTGCCAATTGTCGTCATTTTAGCGATTCAACAACTCAATAATAAAGCATCGCATACGAATTATAACGAGCACACAATGCAGGATAATGTAGAAGAAGCCTTTACCAATACACTGCTCGATGAAAACCTCACCACGCTGTCCAGTGCGCCGATTGTTGAATCGGGGTGATATCCAGGACAAGTTCGGGTATCACTCGCTACCCATGTTAAGCCACATGGCCCGGAGTCAAACTCGCAAGTGCGCTAACCGCTGCGCCACCGCTCCATCCCAGCAAGCTGCGGGCGCGCGCACGTGCACGGGGAGCGGTGGCGCAGCGGTTAGCGCGCTGCGCTGCGAACCCGGGGACCACGGTTCGATTCCCGCTCGTGGCGAGCAACCAGTGACGATTATCTGAACCGGTCCTGCCCCGCAACCCTAGGTCGACTCAGCCTCAAATGAGTACCTGGTGCGATGTCAGCATCGCCACTCGGGAGACAAAGGCGGTCGGGAGTGGTGCTGACCACTCACCCACCCCCCCTTTGTGTGCCCTGCCGGCCTTCACAGGTGCTCGCTAACAGCACTTGCCCCTACAGTCTGTGAAGGCTACACGGGGGATCTTTGTCTTTGGGCTCCATGAGTTTTGCACTTAACGCACAACCCAAGGCGCTTCATTGTTTGATGTTTATCAAGTTGGCACGTACAGTCTCTCCCTGGTGTCAATCACACACCAGGGGTGCACACTCGCAACAACAGCGGCCACGAAACGAACTTAACAACAAACGGCGCGCCGAAGAGAGCGGTCCATCATGCACACGGCTCTACTACCTCACGCGCCTCGACATAACTTAACTTGTGAAAGCAGAGAAAACATTCATAGTAATCCACAGTAATAATTACCTTCGTGTTGTTGGTTTGTTTGTGGCGGAGTCCCCACGGGGGCCTGCGCGTTTAGTGATAGCGCCCCCCAAAAAACGCCGTAGCCTGGCGACCAGCGGCGTCTTGCACCGCGGAAATCGAAAAAAGCCACCGCGCGCTTATGCGCACTACCAAAATGTAACCTCCGATACCTATCCACGCTGGTAAATGCAAACTAGGCTTTTGCCTATGCGTACTGCGAAAACAAACGGCACGCGCTTGTCAGTATTAGCTAATGTAACCTCCGATACCTATCCACGCTGGTAAATGCAAACTAGGCTTTTGCCTATGCGTACTGCGAAAACGAACGGCACGCGCTTGTCAGTATTAGCTAATGTAACCTCCAATACCTATCCACGCTGGTAAATGCAAACTAGGCTTTGCCTATGCGTACTGCGAAAACAAACGGCACGCGCTTGTCAGTATTAGCTAATGTAACCTCCGATACCTATCCACGCTGGTAAATGCAAACAAGGCTTTTGCTTATGCGTACTGCGAAAACGAACGGCACGCGCTTGTCAGTATTAGCTAATGCAAACTAGCGCGCATCTGCGTTACGTTATACAATTCGTATGCCAAAGCGTTGTATGGCTTACAATGCCGTCGACAATGTTAAATAGGAAATGTAAATCTGTCAATCAGACTATGGAATATAATGGTGATGCTTATGTAACCTAGGATTACTAATAGCGTTGCTTACCCTAATGGGAATTGCACTTTTGGTCTCTAAACCAATTTGCCCGCCATGGTAACGTTTCTTAATTAGTTTCTTAATTACGTAATGTGGTTAATTCTCACGGCTCATGGAGCCATCAATGTGACCGCTGACAACTTCAAAACAAATACTGTCTTGGACTCACATTTTGAAGTTAACTTTTTAAATCACAATTAGCATAAATTTCAATATTAATATTATATTACTAATAGTGGTGGTGCATTGCTAATGGTTCACGTAAATAGAATATGCTATCTGGTTCTTTCGGTAAAGTCACGTAGATAGAACAAAAAATTATAAAAGAACTCGACGTTTCGTTCGCAACACAAGGGTCCGTCATCAGGTGATGAAGAATGATGATCAGCTGCTGTGGCTTTATATAGGCACGGGAGGGGGAGGGGGGGGGGCTGGAGTTCACGGGGGGGGGAGGGGGGGCTGGAGAAATTAGCATGTCAATGAGCTTGAATTAGTCATTCTAGATTTGAAGCTTTCGTGACTGCAAGGATTCATACTCTTAGGTTTTTTCGGTAAAGTCACGTAGGTAAAAATATAAATAAATAATAAAATTTATATTCATAAATAATTATTTCCTTATACCAATAATAGGAATAAAATATTTTATTTATTTATATTATTTTTATTGCTTCATTTAATTTTTACCTACGTGACTTTACCGAAAAAACCTAAGAGCTTGAATTGGTAAACGAAAACAGCACGGGTGGAAGAGTGAAAATCACAATCCATTGTTGCACTCTACGTCTATGGTCTCTGCCTTCTTAAACCAGCACTGCTCAAAAAACCTCCTTGACTTCCATGGCATGCAGAGGCCCTCATCCAGCAGTGGATTGACAACATGACTGTGCGTGGAGTTCTTTAATTCAATGCCCCTTAATTAGCCACATAAGAACCCATTGATATTTGACAAATGCAAATTTAAAATGTAGCCCGAATATATATTTTTTTACTTAAATGAATCTCGGCTAAGATGAAAATGAGGCGGGTGCTCTATTCGAGGGCCTGGGCCAAAGGTGGAAATTCCACATTCCCAAGGCAATTTCTCCATTTGGCAACTATAGTTGACTTACAAAAATGGTATCGATTTTATTCAACCTTCTGATAAGAGAATGTCTCCTTCATGTACCATGTCTCTTCACATAACCCACAAATATATATTACACAACCCATCGGCCCCATTGCATTCTGGTAGTGCGTAATTTCAGCGGCATTGATCCAATGCAGGATAAGCAAACTTCGGATCAGTTTCAACGTAACATTGTTATTTTAGTTTAGAAATGGTTCCTCGCTCAAAATAAAATACCATAACACAAAATCATTAAAGCTGTTGTGGAGAATATAACACGTTAGATAAGCAGACAATATGCCCCCTCCATATATGTATACTGTATTAGCACTTACATCAGCTACTTACAAATATTCATTTCATGTAGGGTGGGCTATATCATGCCTCCCAAGTTAAAATCCTTACCTAGGTCAGGTCATTCTCATTACAATTATCATCACCACCAACAATCACCAACATCCCAATCGGGTAACTAACATTAAAACCAGCTGGCTGCATTGCAAAGTGTACAGAAATATTGGTATCTGAAAGAGAAATGTGGGGTTTTCATCACTATTGAGTGTGAAGGAAATGCAACTGCACCGGGGGCCCATCGAACAGAAGGATCCAGGCGCCAGGCTACGAAGAGAAGATTGGACAGGAGGGTTCCATCTCATTATTTGCGCCTGGGCTCGTTTGCCAACCATACTACGCAGCTGCTCGGGACATCGACAGAAACATCAAGGCTCCATGTTAAGTGGAGACAATGCTTTCATAGCATTTAGAATCTAAGTCAAAGACGAGGTGACACCAAGGTTAACAAAACTGCTTGTTGGGCCCTTTACAATCTCAAAAGATGTGTGCATTCAACAATCCTCTTGGCCTCCCAACCTTAAGCTCAATACAAGGGCATACGCATTACCTCCCAAAGCCATTAATCCCCCTTACTATAAAGGATAAAAGCAGATTACAACCTCCAACATTCAAGAACTCGGCAAAAATTTAAAGTAAAAATATTACCCAGGGCAGACTTGCTAATGTGAAGCCGGTGGCCAGGGCACTCAAGTACAAAATCAGCAGGTTGCGAGTTCCAATCCTAATGCCCGTCATCAGCAACTATCTTCTGTTTGTGAAGGCATCTCTTTTCTCGACTCTTCTGATTTTTAGTTTTACATCTAAAATGTCAGCATAGCTTTTCAAACTTCACAAAAAGATCTTGATCTCTATGAGAAATAACCAAGAGCCTGGATTGTGCTTCTATTCCCACTGAATTAAAATACCTTTTCATAATTTGTGTAATCCAGGAATAATGGTATCGATACTTATATTTTCTATCCTCAAAGTATTTTTTGTGCTTAACTTGTTTGGTTAGGCAGACAATGGCAACACACGGCTCAAACGCATCAGTCGTAAAGGTATTTATTTTGTAATTTTACCTAATTACGATTTACGCGCTCGCATAACAGGGCGTATCGTGTACATGCTGTGTCATCACAAGTGCAGTGCGAAACATGTTATTAACCGCAATGTTTTCCCTGGTTGTAAATCCCTTCTAAGTGAAGGATTGTAAATGCCTATTTATCTAAAATTATATGAAGATTTTATTAGGTACAGCTAGCGAGAAATAACTGTTTCCACGCTCATGGCACCACGTTGTAGAAAGAGCCCATTTTGATACATATTTATATACAAACATGACACTAGTATATTTCCGAGGAAGAAACAAAAAAATAAAAAATATATTTACAGAACCTTCCAATACGATTGAATTGCATGTTCCATAAAGCCGCATTGTAGTATATAGTCAACATTACAGCTGTATTAACGATGATACATTTGATGCACACACCTCAGGCCCATGGTGTTAACGCAGGACCACCAGGTAATACGTGGCAGACATAAGTTCCTTGAACGGTACGAGTTGCCCAAGTTCATCAATGTATCTTCTAAAGGGGCCCCCTGCTGGTCAACACACGGGTGAGGTTTCGAGCAGAGAACAGATGTGATCACAGCACTCATTCTCACTTACACAGGTCAAGCTCCTCCCAGAGGAACCCTAGAATGTGAGCCATGCCCTAAGGACCCCTGAACATCTTAATCTGGAACCACTGTTCACTTTGTGCATGGAAATCACTCCACTGTTGTCTGTTCCACTTTGCGAATTTACACATCACTAAGTTGCGCTTCTCACCAGAGACACACATCCACACTCTCCCTCAACCCTCTATCCTCCCCACCCACCAACCTAACCCCAGCTCGTGTTCCCATCTCCTAGTTCTTCTTCTTCTGCACGTGCGCGCAGTCAAACTTCCCGCGCACAATCTTGAGCTGGAGGCCGGGCAGGTCTTGGGTACAGGCCGCCCTCCACCAGCACGATGTTGTGCTCCTGCAGGTTGTGTCCCTCGCCAGGGATGAAAGCAATCACCTCCTCGCCATTGGAGAGTCGCACCTGTGGTGACAGCCCAGGGGGGGGGGGGGGGGGCTCCGTCATGCGAGCCTTGGGGTGGCGTTTCACCTCGACTGGTAGCCCAGAGCCAACATTCTCATCGTGGGCAAAAGCTTATATAAACAGACCTCAATAAATTAGATTGCTCACCACCGAACAAAGGGGACTGGTGATGAACAAAGCAGTTAAAATTGGTAGATGACTGACAGCAACAGAGGGACTTCATTTGACCCTTCATCTGCAATTGAGCAAACAGAAAGGAGCTAAAGATGTCTTTGTGCCTCCAGATACGAATAAACAGTTTTTTTTAGTGCATTGCCTTTCCAGACTAATATTATTCAGCAAAACATTTGTTTAAGCAAGCAAACTCTGCGTATTTTTTGACTTTCAGCATCTCAAAGCAGATTCAGGCTTTTGTTAAACACATGCTGCTGAGTTGCCAGATTTTATTGGCAAGAACACTACATCTAAATAATGAGGCCCTGTTCAGAGGGTTTTGCTTACTTTGTGGAGACACAGAATGAAGGTGTGTGATACACATTATTACTCAATGCTACAGAATTCATAATAAGTGTGTTTTCCATGGTGGGGGGCATTGTCCCTGGAGGATTACCGCTGTCAATCTCCTGTAAAGTGGTACTAATTTTACCCACCCCAGAGGTAGGACACACACCGAATCGACCACTTCAACTACCTTTCAATTGGAAGTTGATGGAGAAGTCATCGTCTGCAATTGGAATATTAAATTATTCAGACTTAACACGAGCGCTTGTGTCAACATGATGAGCAAGCACTTACCTTGGCACACTTCCGATTGGCCGAGTTTGGCTTTTTGGGTTTCTTTATGAACGTTTTGAGAATGACGCCCTAAAACACAAGGACCGCAACAACAATTGTAAACAATAAAAAGTACTGATAGATGTGTCTACATCATTACCAGAAATGTTTAATTCCATGCAACCACTGCCTCTGACATACTTTCTACCTTCAATGCGATTAAATGGGGAGTTCTCAGGGTGGAGAGGGATCATTACCCTCCTAATAAACAATAGTGCATGCCCCCTCTCAATGATTAATTCCATGAATTTAAGTTTAGATGATATATTAGCTTTTGCGCAAGTGATTATATATAAATTAAATTAACCCAAGTGCATATTATTGGTTCTTTCGGTAAAGTCACGTAAGAGAAATAATAAAATAATAAAAATCAAACATAATAAAATATGTTAACTCCTTTGTCAAGGCGCTCTCCTCCTCCCACCCAGATTAAAATAATCTGCCAAGTCTTAGCAGTGTTCATTAGGACGCTGTCTTTCCGACAGCTCTGTTTCTTCACCTGAGGACAGCTGCTTGCGTTGTGGCCGAAACGTCGTGAGAATTTTATTTTAACAATGAAATTTTTATCATTTTATTATTTCCCTTCTACGTGACTTTACCGAAAGAACAAAGAATATGAATCCCTGCAGTCACGAAATATTTAAATCGAAAAAACCCAAGTGCAGCCTGGTGTAGACAACAGACAGAATCAAGGCCGGTTGAACGTGGAGACATTGAAAACTACACACTGCACAGTTTCACCTTCACAATATAGGTTTTTGGGTCAGATTGCGTTATTTATAAATGTGTGGTAAATAAATATAATTACAATTCCTTATAAGGGAAACAAATACCAATGAATAACAATTGAATGATTACCAATCAATTGAATGATTACCAAACGTCGTACTCAAATTTTTAAATGCAGTTGATTCTCTCTTCAACATACCGATGGGCTAAACAAGTGAATTATTTTGTCCTTTGAAAAACGTGACACATTTTTTACTGTTTGTCCGTGTCGGGTGGTAGAGGGTTACGACACATTTATAAATAACGCGATCTGACCCAAAAACCTATATTATGAATAATATTGGTCGCGAAAGCCTGCTACGTGTTAAACTGAGTTTCACCTTGATTTGCGGCCGTCCGAAAGTGGCTCCCAGCTTGGGCGGACGCCGCTTTGGGGGTCCATTCCGATGCATTTGGTTGAGGGTGATGGTGGCATTTGGCACCAGCTGTGTGCATGGAGCCTGCAGCAGAGCTGAGCCAGCACCTATACACGAAGAAAAACAAGATGTGAAGCAGATATTTAATTCTCAACCTAAGGGTGCATTCACATTTTACGTGGTTATTTACGTGCAATCATTGGTGACAAGACTATCAACTCACTACACTTGAGAATCCGATTTAACCACAGGTATTGATTCAAATCGGGAACTCAGTGCTACAGGTTCAGCTCCAAGTTCAGTCCTCTACCCGGCCACCTTCAACACGTTTCCTCATGAGGTTTGTTGTGTTTTTAAGTGTTCATAGCATGTGTGACAGAGTAGGTGGATGGATATAGATGTGTGCCAGTTTGTGAGTGTATTGAGTGTAGTGGCACAGTGGTTCGCCTTATAATTCCTGGTCTATTGACCAGAAGCAGATGAACCACAAAGTAATGTATGTGTCTCTCTGCACGTTACCTGAGAGAGGGTTGAAGAACGATGTTCCCAGTGCCGTGAGCCTCCTCAGAGCAAACATCTATGTATCAAACACAGAATATCGATTTAGTTTCAACAAAACTTGTACGGCAGAGGTTAAGAACGTATGGGCCATATGTGAATCATGGAGGTCATCCTGTACAGAATGCCACTCAGTAGTTCGGTTTTGCGGTCATGTCTGCCCAACGCTTTACTTGTTCTGAGGCTCTGGATCCCTCTTCGTACCTAGCCACCCATAAAGGACACGAACATGTACGACCCTTTATCAATCAGCTGCTGCATCTCGGAAGTCAATCTGGCTTGTGCCTGGCGAGTATTTGGACTGATGACCACCATGCATATAATCGATTGCTGTGGGCAGCGGCCGCCAGTGCAGCGATTCTTGTACTATATCTCTCTATACTCCCGGCCACTGACCACAGTGGTGAAGTATGGTCAAATAACCCCCACGACCCGCACATGTGTGGGGAGACCGTCACCTAGCAAATTGGCAAAATAGCCGATAATAAGCCATTGATCAGTAAGGCAATGCACTACAGTACTGTACTGAACCGCACTGTAACACTGACTCGCCTCTCTACCCTCAGGAGAATGCAGCCTCTTGACAATTATCGTTTTAATGGGTCCTCCAGCTCTTTGCTAACAAGGATTCTTTAATTAGTATAAGTGATAAACATAATAGGGGGCGCGTAAGGTCACGTAACCTTGTGACTCGAGCGCCGAGGCCTAACACGTGTTTATTTGCTAAATCACAAGATCAACCAACTTGAGTAGCACAAATGACGACCGGCAAAACGCGGAGAGGTATGTGTGTGAACGTAGTGCATATCAACATTACCAGAAAGTCAATACAGAATAAAGTTAAACAATAATCGTTACCTTGTAACTTGACGAGTCAGTCTCAATGAGACACTGTACTCAATCCATGGAGCAGCCGACACAAGTACGTCATAAACACCCCTCTATAATGGTTTGGTCCAATGCTTCCTTGCTCCAACGCGTAACGTTTTAGATGTACCATGTATATATTAGGGGTGTTTTAATTTGAATAACATTTCTATATAACTTCACATGAGGCTGCGGAGGTTCGTAGTTACTCATTAGACGTGTATTAGTGAAGCCTATCCATTGCTTTTCACTTGCGTGGAAGCGAGGCTCAATGCACGAGGCATTCGACAGCTGGTGACGTAGGCAAATACCCCTATAAATAATGGTTTGACCCATTTCCCCCACACTCAACGCATGCCATTGGGGATGTACCACACAATTCAGAGGTGTTTATAATTCATGCAAGAACCATTTAAAAAATCATTCATTATTCTGCGGTCCTCTGTTGAAAATATTTTTTAAAATTTTATAATGCATTTTTATTTCGACTTCATTGGTTCTCGAATAATAATAATTCGATTCTAGATTTTATTTATTTTATAGTGATTTATTCTTTTATTTCTATTATTATTTTCATCATTTTTATTTTTTACTTATTTTTTTACCTACGTGACTTTACCGAAAAAAAACCTAAGAGTATAATAATTCGAATTATAATAATTCTAATTATAATTCGAGAACCAATGATTTCCACCAGGCAATTGAGAACGCGAGGCTCCGCCCCCGTCTCGCTTCCCATTGGCTCGCGCGTCTCCGCTGACTCCTCCCCCCCCCCACAATCAACACGAGGTGGGGGGGGGGCATCCAGCATCATCACCAGCCATGCTCCATCCACTGCTCAGTGTCACCAATCAACACGGTCCTGGAACGAACGCCTGCTCACGAACTGTTAGAATCGCTCCATCTCCGTGGGCGACGACTAATTGACTAATTGAGCACACGCGTGGAACCTAACAATCCCAAATTGTCCCCGCCTCGTCGTTTCCATGGTTACCAAGCGTCTTTTCCTTACCACTGCTGGTGTTGTTGCTGCCAGTTTTAACTCCGTAACAGCGGCAATAATCGATTCCTTATTACCTGTTGTGTAATTTCTCTACTCGCGTGGTGCCATGGAGGACATAGACATCGGGGACATGAGGAAATCGGTACGTTGGCGTGCTGAGGAGACACCGGCTCGGCCCGACGCGGCGGTCGGGTTTGGGCGCGGGGAGAGGGGGGCTGTGGAAACTAGGAAAGTCCGGTGGTTCGCTAGGCCTCACGGGACCTCTCAGCTTTATTAATTCGTTTTTGCATTTATGATTCTATAATAATGATGTATGGTATGCGTACGAGAAGAGCCTTTTTGTTAATCCACTGCTGATCCACATTGTATGGGTCGTGGAGATTGTTTGGCCACACTTAACCACTATGGTCAATGCGAGTTTATGAAGGCGGGCAACATTATAGGTGGGGGCACATATAAGTACAGCACAACAGTTCTTCGTGATGCGTTACACTTCATGATGTATCACATAGCCCGAGAGGCTTATCACATCTGTTTTGCATTGGTGGTCGCACCAACGTTATCCAGGGTCTGCTCAGCAGTTTAAATCTTGCCAGGCCGAACTCATGCAGGGTGGTTTTGTCATATGCCCAACATTGACAGTATTCAATATAGTAAATAATTGTGACTGATGTACATTTTAATGATCTTGGGCAAGACAGCTGATATTGAGCGAAAATGCAATCTTAGAGTGCTTTAGAAACATCCACAAATCAATTGTTTTTATTTTAAGCCCTGCAAAATGTGTGTGTTGTGGGGTTGTTACCTTGTTCTGAGACGAACAATCTATGGGTACCCATGCATAATGCCCTATTCAAGCACACATGTTCAGTTAACGAAAATGTGAATGTAAGATGTCCAATGTAATTCAAAATATGTACGTAGGATGTTTGACATTCATATTAATCTTCAAACAAAAAAGACCTGTACAGCTTACACCGGCATATCATTTGGTCGTATAATTATTTTCTATTGTCAACTTCTCCCTCATAGTCCAAATTTGTATTAAGTTATCCACCATTGAGGCGTACGAATGAAAATGTTTATTTAAAAAGAGTAAAGGTGGGTTTATGAACTGCGACTTTGATTTCCTAAAGTAGGCACTCTTTAAAAGACACGAATCTGAGAGGAGCGTCTGGCTGCTACTTTGATCTGCACTGCCTGAATCACCACTTGTATGCTGTCATTGTCGCCCAACATTACAAATAGTACTTCTCGTGTCTTTACAACAAACATTTTTTCTAGACGTCCTGCATTGCAATTGGAACCTTTAATTGGAACCTTTAATAAACAGTACCGTTCCAATAATGGAACACTACATCGAAGAAGAGCCACCCATGCTTCTTCAGGGTATCATTGGTCTGCTGTTGGTGCTTTTGGCATGCAGGGGAAGAAAGACCTAAATCCAAATGTTGCTGATGAAACAAGTAGAGGACTCATGGAGGACTATGGTATTGACTCCAACAGATCTGGGATCTGGAAGAAAAAATGAAGCAACGGCGAGTTGTGGTGACACCAACGCCACTGACCACGATGACCTCTTGACCTTGACTTGATTTCAGACTGCGAGAGCAGGCAGGCGAGCACGACGCCCAGAAGCACAGGAGGCCACAGACGCCATTCCCCCACCCAGCGACCGCGGTTCTGCTTCAGCCAGCAGCCAGGTGAGCTTTATGCTTGTTTTATAGAATGTAAATGTAACGATAAAATTAAACAATTTTTATTTTACCAGGTAAGGCCCACTGAGCTACACAGTTCTTTCTCAAAAGTGATCTGGCCACAAATTATAGCTCAACGCAGTTGCTTACCATGTGGAAATGTATAGCTAAATACTCTAAACGCATGTTGATTCTAAATGTGGAGGGAAAATCCACATGACCATCGGGACAACATGCAAACTCCAAATATATAGGCGTCAGGGTCGGGATTGAACCCAGGAACTGTATAGCAGGCGAGGTAGTTAACATCTCGCCATATATGCTTTATTTGTTATACCAATTGCATTGCCATGTTCCTGCTGCCATTATGTAATGAGATGAAGAAATTCCCCTTCGTAATTCTCACGGGGAACAGAGTAACATCACTTCAAATGAGAACACGCCAGAAAATAACATGACACAATTACATTTGAAGCCACTTCACTCAACCTCTTCCACACTAAGTATTGCGGCCTTAGATGCCCTGTAAAAACTTAGATCGCAGTCAAAATTATATTTTTTCATGACGAAAGTTTTTGGTTTCAAGTGACCAACGGAAATTCACGTATGAAGTCATTAATAACCAGGCTGAGACAATAAACTTGGAGAACTTGAGAACCTGCTTTAATCACAGGTGGCTGAAACTCTCTTTCGAACCTGGGATATCAGTGGTCCCAACACAGTACTATGAAGTGACATTAGCCTTCTGAGCTGCCCAGTAACCTCCTTGGTGATATTTAAGGCACAGAAACCTACTAAGGTGGTTGGGTAGATTGTGGGGGCTTGTAATGCACTGAGCCAGCATCGTTGTGATTCTGTTTTTAAATAACAGTTGGCTACTTGAGAGTGCATCAGGTTCCCAAGCCTTTGTTAATCTGATTTAGAAAGCAGTATTTACATATTTCATTTATTTGCATTACAAAACTGATATCCAATTGACATGAGGCTTCGGCGGTTCCGAGTCGCTCGTTAAATTTTGTAGACATGTATTTTTGAAGCGCATTCAATGCTTTTCACATACATGTAAGCGAGCCTCAATGTATCGGGCATTTGACAGCAGACGATGTCAGCAAATACCCCAATAAAATATAATGGTATTTCGGGTCATCTTCCATTTTTCCTTATATTTTATTATTCTAAATGAGAGTAAATCTATTTATAATTAATGTGTCCTCTATTCGAACTGGCCATCTTCCAGTATCACTCCTGAGGGACTCGCATTGACCGAAGTTCATATTCAAACCTTTCACCAAGGATCTTCCATTGAGTTCGTCTTGTTGTTACATTCAGAATTTAATCCATCACAGCCTGAGAAATGTCACGAAATTATCACGTGCCAGGAATCAATACTAGATTTTGAGAATATGCCATCATCCATGATTTTCACGAACTTGGCGTATATTTTACAAATAATGTCTGTTCCCTTTCAAGCAGCTTTATAATACTTAGAAAATGTGATTGCAAATTATTTTGATCACGGTTCTACCTATCTATATTGTAGAATGTGTTCGTGCACTTTCTGTTAATACATCTTCAATCATTGTTTTGACTTGTTTTAATCTTAAGGGTGTATTAATGTTGTTTTCCAATGACTATGTCTTTTGGTACAATTTTTGAGTTTGAACAGAGACCCGGATTTCCCTTTAAAAAGAGACTTGTAGTCTCAGTGGTCCGATTGAATAACTGGCGACCATCATGGAATAAGGGATTTTCACCACTGGCTTTGGGCTTAAATGTAAATTAAAACCATCCCATGCTCATTCACACACTGACTTTGATACTCAAAGTGTTGTTGCGTTCACTTTTGTTTTGGTTTTTAACATTGAGTGTGATGTCTCTGGTCTTGTTTGGTTTCCGTGTGTATTTCCGTCATCGCTCTGATCACTATGTGCATTTTTTCCCTGTGTTTACTCACGCTATGCTACCATTATGTTCGATGTGTGTGGCTGTAAAAGGAGGATGAAAACGAAGAGGTATTTTGCTTGTGTTGATGGGGGCGTGTGTTTTAACACTAAACTCTATGTAATTTCTACTGCCAGATTTAGTCTTTCACAAGAGGGCACACACAGTACATCAGCCATACAATATATCAATTACTTTTGAATGTCATTAATCTCTCATGTCTTGGTATTTGTTTTCTAAGTTTCTGTTGCATAGTTATATGTAACCAATCACATGCACATGATTGTGGTAGTTTGATTTTTTGAAATTCTTAGGATGTGCCTGCTTCTTTTCTCTGTAAAATGAATATGCCCACTCCGTCTGTATGGTTTCTTGCGATGCGTTTGCTTTTAGAAACTAAAACAAATCCACATTTTATCTTATCTTATTCATACCAGGAATTATTCTATTAACACAAACACAGTAATATGATTCTAAGCACCCGTAATTATGCTTTTAAATATACTTTTACATTAAGTTATTTGGTTTTTAAATAACAAAGTCCACTTTTTAACTGAACATTTCCCTTCGTTGTAGCACTATTGTCAGCCCCGTTAACCTTTATATTACCCCTCGGGGCTCTAAAATAAACATTTTGCTGTGATGATTTGCAAAGCTGTCTTACGTTCCTGGTCAATTGTTTTTCTGCTACCCATTGAGGATGGTGATGGTGTTCATGGTGGTGGTCAACGTCATGATGAGATTTTTTATAGCATTGATGAGCCTGATAATAATGATTACAGTGGTGACGATGATGATCAGGATTGTAATGATAATGCTGATGATGGTGGTGACAATAATGATGATGGTGACCATGACGATGAGATTCTTAACGATAAGCTTGATAATAATGATTTAATTGGTGATGATGACGATGAGGATTGTAATGATAATGCTGGGGATAATGGTGATGGTGACAATCAAGTTGGATACACAGAGACACGTGAGGTATGTGTGATGTTGGAGATATTCATTGGGTTACTCATTTGAATTTGCTCAAAAAGTGTTGTACCAGTACAACAAATTATCTTCATCCTTTTTATTGGAAAACCCAATGAGTACATTGCCAACAATAAGGCTGTGCTCTCAGCAGCTTAACTAATACTTCTAAATGAAATGGCAGTAAGAGGAAGTGCACTATCAAATGGTCTTAAAACTACTTTTTTAAGGGAGCCAATAGGTCACTTAATTCCATTCCTGGCAAATACATTGTCCATCTGCCCATCCATTTCTCTGAGGGTACTTAAAAAAAACATCCTGTAAACAATCTCTACAAAATTGACCAAACAGCTTCCTATGGCCAATGTCCAAATTTCTATATAGGTTTTTATGAAATATTGGCAACAAATTTCTTTCCATAAACTGCTTTTTTTAATGAACATTGTGCTGCATACCAGCACGATTTCCTTACATTAGCATGCGTGTAAACACTTGTGTTGAATTAAATTAAGGCTCCCTTAATGAACTGTTTGGCCAGCTTGTTTTCGTATATATACTGCCTGTATATATTTATGCATATTCCTATATATACACAGGACCATGCCCAGATCACCAGAAATGTATCCAATCTTGTTGGATATTGGAAGTTAAGCAGGTTTTAGCCTGGTTAGTGCTTGGATGGGCAACCACCATGGTGTAAAAGGGGGTGATACATTGTGTGCAGCAAAATACATTGTTGAACTGTACTTCTATGGGCTGCCCACTTTCACCAACCCACACTGACTAGCATGGTGAAGTATAGTAAAATAACTCTCCATGATCTGCATGGCATGGAGAGGCCCTCATCCAGCAGTAGATTGGCAAAGGGGAGTACGTGTACCTTTATATCGTGTATATAATGCAATTATCAAATAACCAAATCCAGTATGACATAATTTCCAGTGTGTGATGGGATTACCTTTACTTAGCAAGTACCAGTTGAATACTTGTATGATTACCATGTTTTAATGAGAATGTATAAATTATTCCCAATAATTTAAAAGTGGAAAATTATTTTGCCATCAGCTTGGGCTGTTGCAAGGACAGGAGCCGTCATTGCAGACAGAAGGTGTAACAACATTTTTTGTTTTGTTTCTGGGTAGTAAGTGTTATTTTCTAATTGATTATGCCTCCAAAGTACAGAAAATTTATATTATTTACCTATTTTCAATGAGAAAACGTGTGCATTTGTGTTATTCCTTCACATAAAGTCCTGGTCACAAAAGCAAAGTTTGTGACCCGAGTTCGATTCCCGCTCACGGTCAACACACGTGACGATTATTTAAACCGGTCTGGGGCCTCCTCCCCTCAGTTGACTTAGTCTCAAATGAGTACATGGTGCGTTGTGTAAACATCGCCACTGGGGAGACAAAGGCGGTCGGGCCTGGTGCTGGCCACCCACCCCCTCGTGTACCATGCCGGCCTTCATAGGTGCTCGCTAGCAGCACTTTCCCCAACAGTCTGTTAAGGGATATTTGTCTTTTGGGGATCAGGTGTTTCATGTGGAGAGAAGCAGGAGTCAAGTTGCAGTGATATGGCTCACTCACCGATGTTCATCATTTCCCCTGTCGCAGTCTCCTGGACCCCCACCAAAGCCATCGCGACGCCATGGAGGGTGGGCCCAGGACTCGGCAGGGTCGGCCAGGTGAGTCAGGACCTTCATTTCCACCTAAAGACTCCCACTGGCATCCACGGGACATGATCCTGTACTGTATAACATCTGCACCGTCGCATGAAGCCCATGAAATAGAGCCTAACAGCTCATTGGGCCCTTCTGAAATAAATAAAATATAAATCCTAAGCGTACACAAACACAAATGACATCAATTCACACAAGAGATATTCCTAATGCTGACCCTCATTCTTTAAGATCAGCAAGTACTATTTCTAGCACTCCCAAAGCAATCAGTTGATTCAACTCAGCTCGGTTGGGATCAGATTCAAATGATTGTATAATAATATAATACGGGATACTGTAACCCTTAGAAAAGCATCACAAACCACTTGGCCTCTGTTTTAGTTGCTCTGTCAATGATTTAAGTTAGGTTTGGTGATAAATGTTACGTTTATTTTTTCAGCTCCACCTATTAATCGCTGAGAATCTATCCTTATGCTTCACAATACGTGGGATCGTGGTTTTTGAGAATACTATTACTATTTTTGCGACTTAATATACATTTACAAACACAAATTGCTTTCACATAATCCAACTGAACAATTTTTGTTTGTTGAGATTCTAATGCTGTTCACTTCTGAATCGGTAAATAGTTATTCGATTTAACAGAATATGCGATCAGATGGGGCAAAAATCTGGTCAATTGTTATTACGAACTGAACCCATGGTACACCCCTAGTGGTTACCATAATACGAGCTGATCCAGAAACTGAGTGCACAGCAGAATTTCTGAATTGAAGGAATGTGCCTCTAGATGGTGCCAGACTACACAAAAAAGCCTCACTCCCGTACATTAATCTTTAATCTGTTGTATAAAATACAAACATCACCAGTACAGCCATATAGACTTGAGGTCAAAGTGCTGAAAGTGAACGCCTCCTAAGGTCGGCACAGCACACAAAACGGTTGTGTGACCAGCACCGTGCCTGATTTCCTTTGTCCAGAGCTGATATTCATACACTACACCCTTTAATCATCATCATCATCAGTCAAGATCAATCCACTGCTGGATGAAGACCTCCATAAGCAATTGCTATCGCTCATAGTCCTGTTATATAACAATCCAGACTAGCAGCTGCACATAATCTGATTTAATCAATGGAGGAATGCACCATTTTAAGGCTGAGTTAATCTAACAGAGGGACAGGATAGATTAACTTACCGATTGCCACTGGTGGTTTCTATGGCCAGGAATTGAACCCAGCTTTATGGAATGCAATGCGGTTTCAATATCTCTCGTATAGCCTGGAACAGACTGTTGGGGCAAGTACTGTTAGCGAGCGCCTATGAAGGTCGGCATGGCACACGAGGGGGTGGGTGGCTAGCACCATCTTCGTCTCCCCAGCGGCGATGTTTACACACGGGACCAGGTAATAATTTGAGGCTGAGTCGACCTAGAGGTGGCCCAGGACCGGTTCTGATAATCATCAATGGTGTTTGCCATGAGCAGGAATCAAACTCGGGTTGCTGGGTTTGTGGCACAGCATGATAACTGCTACACTACTACTTGCCACTGTATACACTTGTGCATGCACACACACAGCTCCTACTATGAAGAATCAAATTTCATGCAAACACAATGTTTCTGTCACTGAATTTCACTATATTTCTGTGTATGTAGTAGCATGAGGTGGCTGGATGACTGAATGGACTCATTGGTCGTATTCTAGCATGGAGCCAGCACCATTGATTCCAAGTTTCAGCTGGCCACGATTAAATTGGGTTATCGTGTGTCATGAGTTGATGACCTCCGCCTTGGTATGAATGACTGCATGCAAACAAATCATCTTATTAACTTGATTCGTCTCTTTATTTGAATTATTGCAGCTCAGTGGACCAGAAACAAATATTTGATTGGTGTGTGATTAGTACGCTTGTAAAATGCCAATATAATAAGATGGGACTGAGCAAGAGAGGGCAGTGCTGCAACATCATTGCTGTACTGTACTTCTATGTGCACATGCCTATGCTGTCGACCTTCAACCGTACATGTCTATGCTGTCCACCTTTAACGACCGGCTTGGTTAAGTATGGTTAAATAAGTATGGTTAATGAACCATACTTAACCAAGCACAACTCTGAAGTTCGTTATTTGACCATGCTTAACCACAACTCACGAAACAAAGGGTGGAGGGGGGCTCACCTCACCCAGCAGTGGATTGACAAAAGAGCTGTAGTAATGTACAAGGCTAATAAGGTTAAGTTGACCCCCGACTGTGATTAGAATGTGCAGACTCCTCATATGTCACTTGAGCACTTGAACCACTGTGCCACCTCGACACAGTGATTATCATTCAGGGTCAAATGCACATCAGTTACACCTGTCCATCCTATCCGCCTTTTCTCTCTACCTCCTCCTCCTCTTGCATTCAGGTCGGGAAAAATACGGAGTGCTGGATCGGTGGATGTGGAGGAGTAAGTTGTGGTGAAATTTTTTTTTAGAAGTGAAACGTACTGCATAACTGTGAAGTTTGTATCACTCCACACATTGCAAACATGCTGGCAGTGATGCACGTGTTGAACTGGATACGTTACTGGGGCAAGTACTGTTAGATAAAGCAATTTTCAAAGATAACGGCAATGATCCCCAATGTAGCCCTATAGGCTGCGGGGGCAAGTGTTGTTTGCGAACGTCTATAAAGGGTGGTGTAGCACGCATAAAGGTGGTCTAACTCTTTGGTTCTTTTGGTAAAGTCACGTATAAAGATAAAATAATAAATTAAATACTAGCATACGACGTTTCGATTGCAACACAAGCAATCATCATCAGGTATAAATGAAATAGAAACACAATCTAGTATACAAATCTAGTGTACTAGAAATCTAGTGTACTAGATTTGTGTTTCTAGATTTGTGTTGCAATCGAAACGTCGTATGCTAGTATTTAATTTATTATTTTATCTTTATACGTGACTTTAACGAAAAAACCAAAGAGTAATTTCTGTAGTCACGAAAGCTCCAAATTATGTTTAAAGGTGGTCTGGCTAGAAACATGCCCTTCTACCGCTGTCTCTCCAGTTTTGTTGTTCACACACCACGTCATATAAATTATATACATCTGAGTTGACCTAGGAGAGGGCCAAGGCTCTTTCGACGGAAGCTAAACTAAACTATTTTAATTTTGCCAGATGAGGCCCACTGAGCTATAGAGTTCTTTCAAAAGCGACCTGGCCGAAAATTATAGCCCAAATGATGTGGCTCATGATGTGGAAATTTATAGCAGCCAAATATTCTAAACGTAACGTTGATTCGAAATGTGGAGGGAAAAACTGGAGGATCCGGAGAAAAATCCACATGACCACAGGGAGAGAGATATGCAAACTCAAAATATACAGGCGTCAGGGTCAGGATCGAACGCACGATCTGTATACCAGGCGAGTCGGTTAACATCTCGCCACCGGCACCACTCATGTGCATTGTCAATTGTTGAACTTGGCTATGAAGATCCATAACACAATGGCGTTAGAAAACACCATATTCACGAAGCGAAAGATCCTCCGTGTAGCTTTAACAGATTGTTGGGGCAAGTGCTATTAGCAAGCACCTAGGAAAGCTGGTAAGGCGCACGAGGAGGTAGGTGGTCAGCCCCACGACCTTTGTCTCCCTAGTGCAGATATTCACACATCACCACGAGGGAGACTCATGTTGCCGGGTTTATAGCGCAGTGCCCTAACTGCTAAACAAACACAAACATTCCCCATATAGCCTTGATAAACTTTGGGGGCAAGTGCTGTTAGTGAGCACCTATGAAGCCTGGCACTGAGCACGAGGGGGTGGGTTGGTGGCCAGCATCACGCCCATCCACGTTTGTCTCCTGAGTGGTGATGTTTTCACACCACACCATGTACTCATTTGAGGCTGAGTTGATTTAGGGTACGCCCAGGACTGGATCAGATATTCCTCACTGTTGTTGGCGGGAATCGAACTCGGGTCATCGGCTTTCTAGCACAGCGCGCTAACTGCTGCACTACCACTCTGCTACACTACTGCATTTTTATACACATATATACACATACTCTACAAGAACAACCATCGTTCGCCACTAAGTGGGGGTGACGTCACCACGGCGCTTGTGCCAGGCTAGGTGAACTACAATGACTGTTGGGGCAAGTGCTGTTAGCGAGCACCTATTAAGGCTGGCACGTCACACGAGGGGGTGGGTGGCCAGCACCATGCCCGGCCGCCTTTGTGTCCCCAGTGGGAATGTTTACACATCGCACCAGGTAATACTTTGAGGCTGAGTCGACCTAGGGGAGGCCCAGGACCGGTTGAGATAATTGTCACTGGTGTTGGCCATGAACGGAACTCAAACTCGGGTTGCCAGATTCGCAGTGCAGCACGCTAACCCTTACACTACTGCTCCCCACATATATATACGAACATATACATTCATACACACACACATGTGCATATGCACACATACAGACACATAAATGTACACTTATACAGGCACATGCAATACACACACGAGGTTAGAAAGGGTTAAGGCCCTGCAGCCCGTGTCTCCCTTCCATGCCCGGCCAACAAAGGCAAGTGGGTTAGTGAGATGTTCCCGGAGATAACCGCAAGATGGGACTTTATCGATTTAACGTCACAGAGGGGCTGAGTTTTGTGTATATATTTTTTTTAACTGGGCTTTCGTTGACGGCCCGTTGTACGTGTGTCCTGTGTCCTGTGTGTGTCACGCGTGTGTCCCATGTACAGCACCAGATTGCAGCAGGCCAGCCCAGAGCCATCTGAAGACGGAGGTGGGTCACCCGCGATACTGCAGGGCAGGGTGGTTCCATGAAACTTCTGTGAGCTGCTCTGTGTAACAGTCCTTGGTAGAAAGGCGATACGATACTACATAGATCATCCTTAAGGAGCGGAAGGCGGGGTACGGAGAAACTGTTATGAATAGATAAAATGGCATTTATTTATCTTGGAAAGCCTCACTGAGTCTCAAGACTCATTTTCAGGAGGGTCCTGCATTGGGATATTTTTAATGAGTGTGTGCACGTGGGACAAAACCAGAGTACATGGAGACAATCCGTGCATGTGAAGTGATAGCAATCAAATGGTCACACAGCCTGGTTCAAACCCAACTGTTTGTACTGCTACTGCCTGACCACCTCAGCAGACCAGCATGTTTTGGAGTATTACAACAGCACCCAATGATCTTTGTGCGATCCACCGACCCCTGCCTCCAAAGTGCTGAATTGCAGACATGTGTTACCATACACATAAACAATGATCACATAGAGTGTCTATTGTATTGCTTAGATGCTGCCTAATAAAAGTGATGGCAGTAGAACATTTTTTTTTACACATAGTGGAAATGCAGGATTGCATTGCACTGCACATTGATCTCTTATGGGGATAAACCCGCTAAATGTTTGACAAGTAGGGTAGCAAAGCTGTCCTATGAAGATGATCCAATATAGGGAAACAACTATCCGCTTGCCACATTTCATGCGAGGTTACAACATATTGAGAATTGTTAAGGGGAATTAAACTTTTACATTATTCATGTAAGGAGATCCCGAATACGTCTCAAACAGGTAGACACTAGTCATGCAGGCAAGCACTGATAATTATACAAACAAAAAGGAAAACTGACATGTACACTTGATACAGTAATTTTGCTGTGACGGTTCTACCTGAAGATGGAAGCTTGTGTTGCCTCCGAAATGTCGTGATTTAATTTATTTGTTTTCTTTTAACCTCCGTGACTTTACCGAAAAAAACAAAGAGTATGTACAGAAGGGCCAAAATGCTCTGATGGTTTCTAGTAATTGAGAAATGGATAGATCATTGCCATGCTGCTCTCAGAGTCAATACATCTCCCGGATCCAAAAAGCATTGGATGGCCTTGAATCAGTGGTGGGAATTCCACATTTAGCATGGTTCCACACGGTTGGCTATCTATGGTGCGAAAGAAGTTCAACATACGTACTTTGACCACTGTTGACTTCCCACAAAGCGCTCCTCGTTCTATTTTCCCTGGAGAAAATGATTAGCTGATCTGATTTGAACTCACAACCTTCCAAACATTACTTGAGCTCTCTTAACACCAGTAACCAATTGGCCAGATCGCCTGTACGTATGCTTTATATAGTGTATCAAAATATAACGCACAACTCAGTCTCAATCCACTTCTAGATGAAGGCTTTCCCACACCACGCTGGTCATGGGGGTTGTTTGACCATGCTTCACCATGCTGGTTAGTGCAGGTTGGTGAAGTGCAATGCCCAGGGCTGGTTCATACATCGCACACCACTGATGTTAGCCATTATCAGGAATTGAACTCAGGCGGCTTGGTTTCAGTGTAGTACGTTAACCACTCCACCACCACTCCAACTTTACGTACACTCTGTACATTGCTGCATATATCATATGTGACCAGGTGTTGTGCCATTGTTTGCTTTTGTTACCACTACATTTTCAGTGCCACAGTTTTATAAACTGTCAGATTGTCTTTTTACTGATTACTTGTTAATCGAGGCTCTGTATCTGTTTACTGAGTTGTAGAGAATTCCTCTGCACCAAACTTGCCACAGGGTGGCTTATGGGTGATAGTAATGATGACATACAAAACACACACACACATACACACAAGTTAGGAGCTCAGAAACCGCTTGTGATGAATAGCATGTCGGACGTGGGCTGCACTATTTCTCAGCACCGACCACCCCATTAATCACTGCCCCACACCCCCGGGTGACTCCTAAGCCCACCGTGTGTCTCCCCACTCCATCTCCTTCTCGCCCATCCACCCCACAGTTTGGCCACTTTCGATTTTTCTCCACTTAGCAGCACATCATCAGGCAGCAGTCAATAGTGGCTGCTAATCACGACGTGCCTTAGTATCCTTAGTTTTTTGTTTATTACTGAATTACCCACACTGCTTTGCAGCCGTGCCATGTGGGTACAAAAATCGAGGTATCTCCTTGCTCAAACATGGGAGAGGCGATGCTCATTTTAATTGGCAACTTTGAGCCATTGGTGGAAATGCCGCATTCTCATGATGGGAGCCAGTGTATCCATAAGACATCCACGGTTCACCTTTCACAAAGTTACACTTGTTTTAGCAACTCAGAGGGATGATGAGTGATCGGAATACATAGAGTTAGGTTTCCTACAATGATTAATACATGAGTTGAGTACGTATGTGTAAAAATATATACATGCCAAATATATATGGAGGTCGAATGTCAGCTTCGGTGAACTCAGCCCTATTATCATCATTATCCTCACTGACCTAAATTGCAACACTAGGGAGCACAAAGAGATTTGTTGTAATCCTTGAGATTGGTTTCCTCCACACAATCTCTTACGAAAATGTGTTATTCCTCCAGGGTCTAAGGTTGACAATACCAATGTCATTTCTTGATAACCTTCCAGTGGTCATTCTGGTTCCACCGAGACTACATTTGTCAACAATAGATAATTTCTGTAGAAGTAGAAGATTGCACACAGACAGACATTTTGACACTTTGGCATTGTGGTCAGAGAGCTCAACTTTCAATGTCAAGGTCACAAGTTGTGCCAGGCACAGCGGTGCATGCCTGTAATCCAGCACTTGGAGGCAAGTTTTGGTAGATCACATAGATTTGTAAAACTCCCAAAACCGCTCTGCTGCAAGGTGCCTAGGAGATAGCAGTGCAGCAAATGAATGTATTGGATCTATACGTACAGAGCTTTGAATGTTATCCCTTCATATGCATTGGTTTTTATCTGAGTTCGCCAGTTTTCTCCCACATGCCAAACACTCATAAATGAAATCGATGACGCTTTCATGGATAAGGGACTTTATAATTCTATCCCATTGAGGTGGATAAACTCAGCTCTTAATATATCTGTGGTGCTGTGAAGAGACCAGTTGCTCCGATAATAATATGGATTTACCACCATCAAATCAGGGCCAGTAATAGAGATGAGTACCGCTCTTTGCTCATTTGAGCGTGGGGTGACTTTGACTTTGATACAGAGAAGTGCTAATGTGGAGACTGAATCTATTGACAAGATCGCATTTGGTTGGTTATCCAGTCACAAATAAGTTGATCACGACTATATATTGACGAGACGTGAACACGCCACAACATCTTTGTGTCGTTTTTTACAGCGATAATGCTAGCCTCCACCCGACTTGATCGGCCAATCGGGGTCGAGTTTCAGGCAACTTCTAATCCCTCTTGCGTGGTTAAGTCAAGGCACCTGTCCCCGTGTTCACAAGTCGACCCTGTTTTGTGCGTTACAGCACCACATTTATTTTGGCGACAGGACTTGTACACAATGGCCTACTTTTTGTAAAGAACACCTTGTTTTTGCCAACTTACAGAATTTTTCTCTGTCAATGTTCGTGTCATTTTTCCATGATGCACTTCTTTTCTGGGCTAAACTGTATTGAAAGCCTTATGACAAATTAGGGAAATGTCTTTTGCAGATAAACTACAGCAAATGAATCAATAACAACACTGCCAATGGAATTATGACTTAACATTTGGTTGTTTACATGTCTTCTTTCAGAAAAATAAAATACTAAATGTCATTTATTTGATGAAAAGCTGCACATGCATAAACATCCTAGAAGTATCACTGTTATAGGGCTATGCTTCCTTAAAACGTTTTCTTAACCTTTAAAAATACAATTGCCCTCAATTTACATAACAACCGTCCATATGTGACCCCTGCTTTTGTTTTCCTGTGGCTGTTATTTGCTTTTCTGCCATAGCAATGCCGCGTTTCTTAATGCAGTCATCAGTCAAAATATAGCAAAACAAATTTCAACCAAAAATTGGTCTGTTGTGCAGGATTATAGTTGAACAGCTCTTGAACTATGTGTGTTAATCGCAAAACATCAGTGGTATCTGTTTTGAGCAGCACGTGATCACATTATACCCATACATTTCGTGTTGTGAAATCGTGGAGACCGTCGGCGCGACATGAATATTTAAAAGCCTGCACGTGCTTTGATTTATGTGCAGGTTGTTCAAGGTAAGGAGCGGTGTTGAGCAAGGGTGCATCTTGTCACCCACGCTGCCCAGTGTCACATTTGACTGTGTTCACGAAGACCATTTGTACGGAAGAGGTGGCAGAACACCCAAGGATCACAATTGATCATTGAGATTTGAGAGTTGCAGTGTGCGGATGATGTAGGCATATTAGCTAGGACCTTGGCAGGGGTATTGGAGCTCTTGGCAGTTGTGCATTCTGAGACAGGACACTGATGGGTAAGATTATCTTCCCAAAAACAAAGTTGACTGCGCTGGTTATGGATGGGCTCTATTTGCCTTTATCACAAGTGTAAGTAGATCCTTAGACAGATAGAACATGTAGTAAAATAGTCAATAATACAGGACGCTATGAGAAGGAGGCCAGGAGATGTATTGTATTAGCAGGGTGGATTTTGTTGAACTAAATTAAGCTGCTGGAAGAGTAGAGGGGTCAACTTTAGAACTAAAAGATGGGTGTTGGAGTCTAAGTAATGTCTGTTAGTATACAGGTCAGAGATCTGTACTTTTAACGAATACAGGTGCTTTCTGAGAATACTCTTGAGTTTCATGACAACAATATAGGATGATCAACTTGGATGTTAGGAATAGAACATGGCAGGAAAGTACTGTGGAGCGTAATAATGAAGAGGTGGTTGTGATGCGTGGAGCACTTGTGCTGGATCAAGTAAGGAAAGCAATGAATCGGCACTCGGAGGTTAGCAACCTAGGGGGGAGACCTCAGGTTCGAGTGTGGTGGTGGTAACAAGATTGTACAACCGCTGTTGACTGATGATTATAATGATGACGTGAAATAATATGGGTTTTTGTCCACTGGCCCTGGGCCACCAACTTTATAGAATACTTAAAAAGTGGTGAATATGTGCGCATATGTACATAAATACACTTATATAGATGCGTACACACTAATGGGTGCAAGCACATTAATACGAATGAACACATTGCAAATACTCAATCACGAACGCATAAGGCTGATACACATGAGAGAGAGAGAGGGACTGCAAGTTCATACATATGATACAGCCTTTCTCATTGCGCTCAAGCAGCATTTGTTAAAATAATTTCCTCCAAATTTACATTTTGTTCCCCTTTTCCCTCCCTGTGCAGATGTGCGTCTTGAGCGAGTGAGCGAGCGGGCGCGCGGGAATCGGATTTGGCGGCGGCATAATTTGCACGCCGCCGTGTGGCCTAACGCATTTACGCGCTCCCCGCAGGCCCCCCTAATTGAACAGGTCGCTGGGAGCGACGCCACACAGGCCCGTTCGGCCTCCCTCTCGTCCCGCCCCCACCATCCATCACCCGCCCATTATCGCCTGGGTTAATCCCTTTCACGCCTTCCCCTTATTAAATAACACATCTCTATCGGGAGCCGTGACTGCTTTGCTTTTTCCTTTTCGCTATTTTTTTTTTTCCTCCACGGAACGCTTCGCGCGGACCCGGCTGCGCCGCTTGCTTGCACGACCCCTTCCGTTCGCGCGATGGCAAATTTCGTTTTCGGAATGAGGTTAGGGTACGGCTGTTTTGCATACGGTTGAGCTACGCTGGAAACTTTTCCATGAGTTTTTTTAAATTTCTAATTCCATTGCCTGGAGTTCGATCAACACTTTGTAGGTCATTGAGGACTGTGTTGATGCCTCTGTGCATCACTGGTGCACGTTCAAGAGCAGCTTGTTGTACCTATATGCGCTGTTGGTTGTGTTGGTTCATCCACTTCCAAAACACTTTGTTAACTAAACAGCAGTACCGTGGTCAAGTGACGGGTCAAATGGCTGTCATCGTGCCAGATGCGGCATTGGAGATGACGAGGTCGAGCTTGTGACCATGGAAGCGAGTGGGTGTTGATATTAATCGGGAGAAGTTGAGTGACTGGTAGGCGATCAAGATTAAGTGATATGTATCGCCAACAAGCATGCTGATATCTCCAGTAATGATGAGTGGAAAGGAGAAGAGACAAAGCGGCAAGGTGAGATTAGAAAAGTCGGACGTGATGTTTGGTGTGGAAGGTAGCTGATGGAGAAGTTGAGGTTGGAGGGGAGTAAAGACAGGTGCAGGAGGAGATGCTGCAAAGAGGTGTCATTTTGGTAGGTTGCAATTGAATATCTACATTCTAGATTGGAGGTTTTCGTGACTGCAAGGATCCGTACTCTTTGGTTCTTTAGGTAAAGGCACGTAGGCGAGAATAAAATAAAAATAACTAAATCACGATGTTTCGGAGGCAACACAAGCTTTCGTCATCAGGTGGGACAACCACAGCAATTTTATTGTTACTGTAGTGGGCAGAGAGAGCTGTATGTGACAAGCGATTATTTTCACCTACGTGACTTTACCGAAATAGCCAAAGAGTATGAATATCTACAGTCAGATTTAGTGGTGACGGAATTACCATCACACCTGCTGCGGGAGCAAACACAGCGCTTCCCAAGGTGGTAGCCAGGAGAAGGGATGCAGAGTGGGAGTAAAACTCGGAGGGTTTGTCCGAATTATTAAAAAAACGCTCGCTGTGTGCTCTCTCAGCAGACATCCCCGTTATACCCGACCTGGACGATATGCAAGAAGATGACCTGACCGCCCAGGTGGCTGCCCCACCCAGGTAAGAAGCTGCCGATAATGGAAGAGGAAACCCGACAAACAAAAGACTCACCTTGTAGCTATGTGCCTATGACCAAATCAAGAATGCACAAATCTCGAGCTAAATGCAGTTGAGCCTGGACAGTGCTTGAATGAGTGGATGTCTGTGTGGCTATTTTTGTGGCCAACATGCTAGTGCAGCAGTGTTCCATTGTTTTATTGTACTTCTTTGAGCCCACGCCTTCACCAACCCGCACGGACTATCACACGGCGTGGAGTGGCCATTATCCAGAAGCTGATCCGAGCATTACCCAGGTTCAACGCTGCTTAGTTTCCGAGACCTGACGAGATTGGGCACAATATGGGTGATTTCATTCATTCGTCGGCGAAGGACCGTTGCGCCAAACGTGTGAGCTCTTGCGACAGCATCCACATAAACTGCTCTTGCTGCCATACTAGTGTCTCAAGTAATTTGTTTGATCCACGTACATGTTGCTGTGCTCTACGCCCCCCATACCCAATGGGAGCAGAGTATTCTGGGTAACCCAACGTTTATTATCAGTGATTTGGTCCCTGTGTGCCTGAGCGTTATATGGTGTTATGTGCACAGCATGCAGGTGAACCGTGTAATGACTTTCAAGGATCTTGACTCGGATCTCATGACGCACGCTGCTTTCCAGACACTGGTAAGTCGCCTTCATCACACACACGCATGCCTCTTGACGTTAACTAAATATTCAGAACATGCACTACATTAGTAGTGAAGCTGTATTTATGACCACGTAAGAGCCATTCAAACTCATACTGCCAGGTTCAGAGCGTAGTGCACTGACCATCCCCCTCATTTATTCAGGGCATGATCGTTTCCTCCCACATCCTGAACTACAGAGTATGAATCTGTAAAAACATCCCAAGCAGAATCCTCATCAGAAAGAGTGTCAAGGCTGGGTAATGCCATGCTGGGTAAGTGAAGCATTATTTTAATTGTTGTTGGGTGGAGTGATGGTTGGCCAATTGAACTGAGATGCCAGTGAACTGGTGGAACTGAGTTCTCAGCTGACATCAGTGGTGAGTGATATCTGAACTGGCCCTGGGCCCACGACCGACATGGAAATGGGGGGGGGATGCCTTCATCCAGCAGTGGATTGACAAAAGGGTGGAAATGGAGAGGCTATGAAGACTAAAAGAGAGACATGGATTCAAACCAATGTTAAAAAACAGAAAAGTATAATTTAAAATTGTTCAATCCAATAAAGTATGTCAGAAAAACCTAAATGCAGGTGCGTTAAGAGATTGTTTACTTTTGAAAACATTTGTAATTTAGAGATGCAGTGGATTAGCTGGGATGGTAATATTTGGTATATGCTTTATTAATAAATTTAAACCACTGCAACTTAATTTGTATTGACAATGGAATGAAGCCAGATATATATACTCTGCAGTGATGGACAAAGTAAATGTGATAAAGCACCCAGTAGTCTGGACGAAAGGCAATGTGCTGAGCGATACTGCCTGGACTTGAATTGGACTAGGACATTTACACAATGGCTACTGCTAATCTCGGTCCTCCTTCGAGGGCGGGGCTGAGGGTGCTGCTGGGGGGGGGGGGGGATCTGGGGGGGGGTCGGTGAGCGGTAAACGAATGCCGCTTTATAAATGCGCGTGCGTGTCCATGGCCCCTGGTTACGAGCCCACGCTTATCTTCCGCCCTGTCGGCAAATCTGCTTATTTATTTTCCGGTCACTTCATTGACACCTCCGGCAAAATACAGAGGCAAACAAAAGCAAGAAACCCCCCCCCCCCCATACTTTAGCATCCTTCTGTAACGTAGGTGGTAGGCTTGTTGATGCAGCTGGTTTGGTTTGATTACATGTGACAAATGCACGTGTAAATCCTCTCTAAACGCAATGATCACGATCATTCATAACTACTTAATTATTATTTACAGCCGGTCATCGGGTTGGTTTGACCATACTTCGCCATGCTGGTGAGTGCAGATTGGCGAAGGAGGGTTTGTTCGTAGGTATCAGTAATGTTAGCCATGGCGAGTAATCTAACTCAGGTTGCCAGGTTTATAGCGCAAGTATGCGAACCACTGCTTCACCACTTGAACCCCAATGAAAGCTTGGTAGGAAAAATGAATCTGATTTAGAAATTAACCCATTTTTGTTTGCGCAATTACTGACGGCCTGCCGAAGGACGATGCATCATTCAGGTGTTGAGGAGTCGCCTGATGGCGTCATGGGATGGTGGGATGACGTCATGTGACGGGGATTATAAGGGGGTACTTAAGGGGGGACCCCGTGACGTAACGGGGGTCGTTGTGGGAGCCCGGGCTGTGTAGCGGCTAAGAGAGGTCTCTCCCGCTCGTGACCGGACGGAGTTGGCTGAACCCCCGTCCCGGGTTCGACGAGTGGGAGAGCCGTCGAGATAGCCGAGGATAAGGCTCGAGGAAGTCCGTGAGAGCCGGCTAGGGAGAAGTGGGGTGCTGCTCTCACTCGGTCGGACGGAGTTGACTGAACCCCCGTTCCGACTCAGGTGAGAGAGAGCCCAAGGGAATAGCCGAGGCTAGGGACAAGAGTCGAGCCGAGGTCCAAGGGAAGGGCCGAGTGTAGTGTCACCTACCTCTGGTGTGAGTTAGTGTGTTAATAACTGTTTATAAACTGGCGTAAGCCCTTACAAGAAACTCCGAGTCCGCGTGGTTGTACACCTCAACACAGGCAAACGTCAAAGTTATATCGGCACTGGGCATTGCGCATCGCCATCATTGGCGCTGAACCAGAGGTGGAAATTCCCCATTCCTTTGGTGGAGCCCAGTTTCCCCTTATAAACAAAAATATTAAATAAATTGATGTCAGTTTCAAAATAAGATAAGCATGTACATTTTCTTCAAATGTTTCCTTGTCTACTTTTAGAATTCTGAACAGGTTATTTAAGTTTTGGTTCTTTCGGTAAAGTCAGGTAAAATTATACAAATTAAACAATTACATTTTCACGACGTTTCGATTGCAACACAAGTAATCATCATCAGGTGTGAAAACCGCCACTTTTTTTCAAAATTTCTTGCTGTGGTTTTCGCACCTGATGACGATTGTTTGTGTTGCTATCGAAATGTCGTGAGAATTTTATTGTTTTGTTTTTATGATTTTATTATTTCCCTTCTACGTGACTTTACCGAAACAACCAAGAATATGAATCCCTGCAGTCACGAAAGCTTTAAATCGAAATTTAAGGTTATTTCAGTTTTGTTGTTTGAGATTTGGAATTTCCATTGAATAGTAATAATTAAAAGGTGCATAGCTCCAATGGCTTACTAATAACTTCCTCCATTGGAACCTCATTTGCCAGTAAAAAATATGATAATTGGTTTGTTACCCTTCTATCTGGCAACAAAACTGACACCTTTTTTTACAAGGAGTCATGTTTGCATAGATCACAATACCTGCAGTCATAATGCAAACAAAAAACATAACACTGATAATGTATGCACTGTCCTTGAAGTTGATTGGTCCACACCCGAGAGACAGCTTTCCTTAGAGCCTAGTCTCACATGGGTTGGACCAGATGACTTCCTTTCGATATTAGGAAGCCACTGGAACTGCTTTTTTTTTCTAGTTTGGTGTCCTCTCCTGCACCTCCGATTAGCACGTTTGGCTACGTATGGTATGAAAGAAGTTCAACATACATAAATCTTGAACATGTCTAAAATGAATACTGCATTAAGAAGGACTTGATTTGAAGCTTTCGTGACTGCAGGAATCCATACTCTTTGGTTCTTTCGGTAAAGTCGCGTAGGTAGAAAAAAAATATAGATGTGTAATTTTTTCTACCTACGTTTCTTTACCGAAAGAACCAAAGAGTAAGAAGGATTTGTATTCTTTATAAATTGCGTAATTAATTTATTATTGAAAATTTTACATAAAACCCTCACCATAAAAGTTCACATGCTCATGTTCATGTGGTGCAGACTACACAGTGTCGTCCGAGCATTTGCGAACGCAAGCGCCAGACCTACTACGTGTGCTTAACCGACATTCTTTCCCCCGTCATTCAAATCTAGTGCAGAAGCCTTTAAACTTACGCGTATTAAAAGCTGTAAGCGTTAGTGATTTGATTTTCCCGGGAAGCACCAATCAATGTAATTATTTCCTGCTTGGTGCCACATTTGTCATTGTAAGTTTTGTAGTTCAATAAACTATTGAGATACAGAGATAATATACATAAACATTCAAAAAAATATTTTTGTTTAACCAGGTAAGGCCCACATAACTATATAGCTCTGTTTCAGAAGCGATCTGGCCACAAATGAAAACTCAACGAATTGACTTAGGTGTAAATTTATAGCAACTAATTACTATAAACGCATGTTTCTAAATGTGGAGGGAAAAACTGGAGGTTCCGGAGAAAAATGCACGCGACTGCGGAGAGTACATGCAAACTCTAAATATTCAGGTGTCGGGGTTTGGTTCAAACCCACGATCCCCTGTATACCAGGCGAGGTAGTTAACATCTCACCACCGTGGCACCGGATCTACATTCAATCGTTCAACAGTCATCACAGCTCTTCGTATGAGAAACTGAAAATACGAATAAAACGCCGTTATCTTGATTGTCCTATGCTTCTTCATTGCCGTCTGCGCGAACATTGATTGTTATCTCCTTGTCTGCATGAGTTTTCTCTGGGCACTCCCATTTTCTTTCTTCATGCGAAGGACTTCTGGAAGAAGCCTTGTAACTAAGCAAGCCTTTAGGTGGATATTTTCCTGATAAATCAGTCAATTGAAGAAAATAACAGTTATAAAAATGTGATGAAAAATAATAGGTTTTACCCTTTCTGGCAATAAAGCTGGTGTTAAGATGTTCACACAACAAATAGATACCTTTCACAAGGCATCGAGTCTGCATTAACCACACATACTTGTGGCAAAACATGCAAACAAACAGTCTGATATAATAAATGTTTAAAATTATGTTTCTTTATCACAATACATCGCAGTTGCTTATGCGCTTTCGGAACATACGGCTTCTCAGCCGTTACCATCCAGAGAAATTGTAATCACTTCCAATGAACCCTCAACCCTGAGCTTAAGCAGTTGAATAAGGAGGCGCGGCACAATCAACAGGCACGTTCTCGGCCGTGCATTGTTTGTCTGGCTCTTTAACCCGGCTTCCCAGAAAGACCTTGCCTGGAGCAAGCGAGACACAGGGACGGGGTGAAGAACGGTTCTGCGCCTAGTCCCCCCCCCACCCCCATATCACCACCCCCCATTCGCTCCTACACACCCTCTTTCGCCTGCCTCTTGCCGCGTCGCCTGCTCCTTATCGGACTCTTCACGCCCAGGGAAAGTCATTTTCAGGCGATAGCATCGGATAGGCGTGGAGGGGCGGTGAGGTTGTGGCCGGTGCAGTGGTGGCAAGGGGGTGGGTTGGAGAGCTGCTTAATCTCGCGACCTCTGACCCTCACTAGCGTTTCGCTGCTTTCCATCTGTTCTCATCCTCCTTCTGCGCTGACGGGTGCATTAGTGGTGGTGACATCGTCAAATATAAATAGCACCTGAATCTGTGCGCATTCACGCCACCACAGTTATATTATGTTCTTTGATATTTGATGGTTGCTAAATTGTGATGGGGGGTGGGGGAACAGTGGTGCAGTGGTTAGCGCACTGCAATAAACAGCCAGAGACTTGAGTTTGAATCCCTGACATCAGCGGAGAGTGAATGTCTGAACCCATTCGGGGTCCCTGCTTAACCAGCCCATGCTGTGACAAGGGTCACACTTTAAATTGTGATATCTTTGCTCTTAATTTTATCGAGCATTTTTATTCAATGGTCTTTTCTGTATTTTTTACACAATTGCAATTTGCTCGATTGCTGTATTTGGTTTTTTTTCTGTACTAACTTGAACACCTTTACAAAAGGGACGTGTGGTCTCAGTGGGCTCTTACCTGGTTATATATAATGAAAATCTTACATTCGTATATTTAAAAATAGATGTGTTAAATTGAATATAGGTCATCTGTTCAGTCTCGCTGTCTCCCTCAAACTTGAGCGTTGTAGTATTTACGAGCAGTTACTTCCTTCATATGGCCTACAAAGAACAACTCTTAGAGATTTACTTGCTGAATTCCAGATACACCGCATTCAAATGTAGATTGGGAGCAGAGCGACGGTTCTATGATCCACGGTTTGTGGTTCGCAGCCGCAGTCGCACACAGCGTCCGCTGGATGTAGCACATGTTTATGTGAAGAGCCGTTAATAAAAGTGGTTCTTATTTATCACGAACAGGAACACTAGATATTAAGTCTAGATTCATTGCAGGTTGCTGAAACGGAGATTACATCCAACATTTCAGCAGTGCTTTGCCACAGCCGTTCAGAGCCTTCTGAGCCACCCAGTTTACATCCCTTCCCAAGGTTGGTTTCGCCACCATCATCATCATGAATGTAAAGTATCTTGATCGTCATCTTCATCGGCATTCAATGAGCAGCAGTGAACAAGGTTGCACCTCTCAACAGTGTTAAGTCAACAGTGATTCACGTGTTCAGGATAGGCCATCCCAGTCATACCAATGTGGAATTATCACAACTACTTGAGGGCCACGAATGTTTTGCTCATTTGAGTAAGTGGACAGACACTCTTTCCTAACCCTTTTGACATTTTTTTCTCAAAATGGTGCTTCTCTGACAATAGATGCTGCTTGAATGCACTTCCTAAATTTTCCCCGTGGCCCTGGGGCAAGGCTTAGCGGTGCGTCTGGCTCACCATTATGGTCGCTTTCCGAACGTGCCCTGGGCATTCTTAACCCAGCAGCTCTTAACACCGCCGCCACCACCACCACCACCACCACCTCGGTCCCTCTACCAAATCCCACCTCTCCAGCAGCTACCAGCCTCCTCCTAAACGACGATAAGATATTTTAATTTGGAGATTACATCGGCAAGCCTCCATTGTGCTCTGGTCACCCCCGTTTGCATGAGTCCTGTGTTACAAAGCGGCATGGAGTAGAAGTGGTTCTTTTATTCTCAAGGAGTGCTACACACACGGTACGTAGTTTGTACCTTCCACATTCAACGCAGTCATCGTTCTACCGCCACTGTCAGTGGCAGCATGCAGTCATTCCACCATTATCATCTGGCTTTCGGTCTTCCTTTTATGTGTCAAAACCAACGCATTAGATTGCAGGTAAATTATCAAAACATTCATCACCATCATCAGCCGTGGTCTATCCATTGCTGCATGAAAGCCTCTTCACCCTGCCACGCACTAATTTTATTGCCGAGTCAACTTAGGACAGGTTCAGATACCGTGAGCCCAGGTCGCTGGGATTATAACACAGAGCAATAACTGCTGTACTTCACCGTTCCTCGCGTGATACATATCGTACACTCGGCACACCCGTCTCAGTCATCTTCAGGACTGCAATGGGGCCAGTAGATGGCAGGACAGCAAGTCGGTTGCTGACCTATCTATATCTTTTTGAGTGTCATCCCCATATTTTTCTGAGTTTTCGCTGGTAATTTATCCAGGCAGACGTTTCTGGATAATTTAAGGACTACGTATGTGTTTTTTACGGGAGCCAACGGGATAATTCTTCCTGTGTCTGGGAAGAATTATTTTTGTGCTTCATAAATTAAAATAGCGTCGCTACATACTCCTGTGATTGGTATGCGCGAGTTACAAGAGGGGAACGTGGGTGTGAATCACATGCATGTGCCAGTTTCTACGTCCATTTGCGTGTTTCAACCCACACGTTCTTTGGACGGTCAAATCCCGTAACAAAAATTAGGCTGCCTGAATGGATTTTTTTTGCTATTTTGTTGTATTTCAATTGTATAGCACCTCTAGGTCTTCCTTACTTTATCCCAATGGCCCCTTTTTGGGTTATCAAGCCTGTTGAACTGAACATAACTGATCTGTAACGAGGCTAAACCCAACGAGATTGTGTTGACCTTTGTGTCTGTGCAAACAGGATGGGGACATTGACCTGAAATTGCTCACCCGAGTCTTGGCCCCAGAGCCTGAAATCAGAGAGGTGAGTTCTAAAAGTGTCACCATTCCAGTAGCAAATCACACGTCACAATTAAGGTGATTTACAAAATGGGTATTTATTAGGAAGCGGCTGGAGCTATGCAATTTTAAAGCAAGATTGAAAGCTCATTTCTTGAAAACTGCCTTTTTTATTTCGTTGTCCATCCCCCGCATCTCCATTAGCACAGGTTGGCTACGTACAGTGGGAAAGGGTTCAACATACATTGTCATCTGTCGGGTGGCACCGTGCTGAGAGTACTTAACTCACAATCGTAAGGTTTGGAGTTCCCATTCCAGCTTAGGGGCTGACTCGGTCATCATTCTGGGATCGTTTAAATGAGCACCACTTTGTTTGGAAGTCACTAGTGGTTGCAACATGACACTAGCCCCTACCATTTGAATTAGAATTTTCACCACTAGTTTGGGGATTCAAATGGAGATGAATACTACATCTTCTTGGTTCTTTCGGTAAAGTCACGTAGAATGGACCTGTTACTCCACCTGAGGACGGCTGCTTGCGTTATGGCCGAAACGTCGTGAGAATTATTTTATTTTTATTATTTTATTATTTCCATTCTACGTGACTTTACCGAAAGAACCAAGATGAATCCCTGCAGTCACGAAAGCTTTAAATCGAAAAATGAATACTACATCTTCAGCATCTTGTCATCATCATCACCATCCTTTGTCATTCACCATTATCATCAATTAATTGTCACTGATTTAGTGCGCGTGGTGGCCATTTCGATGTGTGCCTCTTAATAGACACATGATTATTACCATCTATCCAAACGTCTTAATCAGTAAAATAAAGTCCATTTGCCCCATACCGTCCTCTTCCGAACCTTCCTCTTAAAAAAATATATTCCATCTTTGTCACAAGCTCGCAATGCATATAGATGCATTTCCATCGCTTGCAACATCTTGAGACAGGGTCGCATTGAGACGCTCGATAAATTCAAATGTCGCCACCGTGTATTTCACGATTAACGTTCGAGGTACGGTCACACTTGCGCACCGCCACGGTCAAATTTCTGTTGCGTAATTGCGTTGTATGGTATTGTACTGCGCGGCAGGACGACGGGCCCTGGGACTGGGCCCTGCTCTACACCGAGGTGTCGTCGGAGCTCACAAGCGAATGGGAGGGTGCCGGCGCCACCCCCAATGTCCCCGAGAAGCCCAGCTCCAGGCTGCCTTCCGTGTCCGCTCGCGCCAAACACATCTCTCTTCCCGCGCACACCTGACCAGCACAGGCGCTGTGTCATATAAAGCCTCGCTTTTTTTAAGTAAACAGGTGTCCGATTAGTGATTGCCTAAACCTTTAGAAGTGAGGATGTAATCCCTATCTTTTGTGTTTTTCAAATTCGAATGAGTTCATAATTGTCGAGTCATATGCAAAGATTTTCTGTGTCGCCTGCATGGAAAGTTCGGCGGGGATAGGTTCACGGCCCTATTTTCTGTGCTGCCATCTGCAGGCCACGTCACATTCCAGTGGGTTTAGATATATCACAAAGCTACATGAGACATCATTTATTTAATTTACTGGATTTCAGACGTGCACCACAATACTCGGCTTGATGTATTTCAGTATAATCTCACCGATTATTGGTACCCAAGATCCAGTGTTGTAAACTCTACGTTATTATGGCAGAGACCGGTTTCTGTATCTGACATCTGCTGTCGACTTCACACAAATTGGTACCCAGAATTTGAACTGAAAACTGTCTTATCTTGAGCTAAGCACTGACAAGTATTACCTTGCTATGGTTATATTATTTTTTAATTACTATTTACAAATGTGGTCGGTTGACTCAGTTGGCTGTTCTCCTAAGCATGAAGGGTTGCACTGGTCTCCGAGAGATTCGCACGGACGTGTCATCTCATGACACACGAAACCGATAGAATAAAATTTGTGAATTTTTTTTCAAACAAACTTGCTACTTTTAGGGTAGGATACAATTCGTCTGTTGGCAAAAGGCCTTTAAAAGCTGGCCAATTGCTGCGTTTGGCAAAGCCATTGGTGAAAGAACAATCCTCCAAAACTTCAATGACCCTCTGACAGCTTGTGATTCACAGCCATGATGTTGACTTAACCTCGGAATATAACAGCACAAGACATTGTGGGCTCCGTCGCATGATCTACGTGCATTAGCTGCTGCTGTCCTATTAACAGAAGCTGCTGACACCATCATTTCCACTTTGGCTTGTTTAAGATGACGTTTCTTAACAGTTTTTTAATGAAAGTAATTGAAAATGATAGCGCTTGTTATCAATATTATTACTTCACTTGCAATATGTAATCATATTACCTGTGCTCATTTTGTCGTAGCGTCGTATTTTTTATGGTAACTTTCATCTATGAAGCACCAACATTTTTTTTTCAAGAAAAAAATTATGTCAGCATATTCCTCTTATTTCTGAGGTTAAATCAGCCTAACATGTTAATTGGAGCAAAATAATCATAATCGCCTGATAAAGACGTATGTGACTTTCTAAACCAACAAATATGGGTTTGCATTACATTACTTATAAAATATAATTGGAGACGACTTTAAAGAGTTGCTCTTCCAACAATGACTCTGAGGCCTCCTCGTCTTTAATAAGTATAACCCGTAAAAACTAAGTTTTTCACTATAAATCCTTTACATGCGTGGCGGCTAGAGTCCTCTCGTCCTCTGGCTTGAGATGGCTGCCACCTATGGGTCAGATGATTGCATTGCACCATTAAGCAATTGGTAATTAAATATATTTTTGTCCTAAGAAGTGTAAAATTTTGGATTTTTTTTCACGAACATTAATTGTCACGCACAACGAGTCTGTGTGGAAAATGTCAGCTCGATTGGATCACGGGAAGTGGGTTAAAAAACGACCGAAAGATTTGCACGGTCCTAAGCAAGCAAGCGAACTTAATATAAAGGATTTTAAAAAAGTGTCTCAGTGCACCCTAGACTAGGCCTCGGCAAGGTAAGGTACAAGTGTTAAAAAAACGAGCCTACCTTTACCCTACCTTTTACCTTACCACAATACAATCACTCTACCCTACATTTTACCCTTTAGCAGGTAAGGTAAAAGGTCAAAAGCAACGAGCCTACCTTTACCCTACCTTTTACCTTACCACAATACAATCACTCTACCCTACATTTTACCCTTTAGCAGGTAAGGTAAAAGGTCAAAAGCAGCGAGCCTACCTTTACCCTACCCTTTACCCTTACCCCTTGGCATGTCGACACCTTTACCCTTTTACCCGGTAAAAAGGGTAAATTACCTTACCTTGCCGAGGCCTACCCTAGACTCAAACCCACGTTAGACTGAAGCTCACAAAATTGACCGATTCAGCCAGTCGTGTTATCCTATGTTACTTCTTTTCCACCGGCACATCTGAGCCGAGCCAGCCTAGAGCACTCTGGGTAAACGTGGTTCTCAACTGGCTATTTGGTGCGCCAAGCCAAGCTGGCCTCACAAGATGTCTAAACCTGTCTCTGGGCCAATGTATGAACAGGTGCGGAGCTGATACGTGCAATTTTAGTCGCAAACACTGAGCACACAGTAGCACGGCACTGATCGGATTCTACAGTGGAAAAACAACCGAACGCCTCGTGAGCCACGATGGGCTGGCTCGGCATGGCCCTGACATGGATCCGTTGTGGAGTGGAAATGAGATATAAGGGTCTTTAATGCTTTGGGAACATTTTCATAACCTATCCTCCGATGTGGTATTTAGCGAAATTCACCAAATGAACTGGTTTAGTCAAGTGTGTTGCTCTGTATGAGGCCCATTTGCTCTGGAGCCACTGGTGTTGCGTGCACAAGTATCAATAATGCCCATTATCCAGAAAGGCCTCACTCGGATGTTTGGCCAATTCCCATTCCTCGCATGGATAGATGTAAGAACACCTGCCACTCCCAGGCAGTTCTCTTTTTAAACACCAACAGGCTCAATACTGCTTACCCTTCAAAGCATGATTGGGCACATTCGGGGTTTTTTGGTGATTGGCCTTGATGCAGATTTGACTGAGGATTGTTAAATGGACTTGGCTCTTTTTATTGTTTCCCCCATATGAGTTGGGTCCCCTTTGTTGCTGTGGTTGCACGACAGCGCGCGCCTTTCAGAGCACGGGGAAGGAAAGCAATTGCTGGGGGTTTGTCCTCCAAATGTTGGGGCGTTGTAGTTTTGGGGGTAAGAGGGGTAGGAGTTATGGGGGGTGGGGGGTGCTTTGTTGGTGGAGGGATGGAGGCCCAGAGGGGGTGCACTCAGAGGTGCTGCTAACCGTGTTTGGTGTGTGGGAATTGGCCAAGCCCATGGGGGGATTGTTCTGAGCCATATGCCCCAAACATCTGCGATGCGGCGTTCTCTGCATGCGCGCGCCTACATGTGCGTGCCACCACGCTCCTATAACATGCACGCTACATACATACACACCTACATAAACATACGCACATGTCTACACACGCATGCATGTGTAGTGGCACACATGCGTGCGTATACATAGAAAAATATACAGGATGGCAAAGACAAAGGTCCCCCGTGTAGCCTTTTATTCATGCTTACCCAGGGAAAGACTCACCAAGTCTCATGACTGGTTTCAGGTGGGTCCTGCCAAGTGTTCGCGATAGCAGGGAATGATTGCTATGTATATTCCAATTGAGTAATTTGAGGGTAATTTTTCGATTGTTACGCCGACAGACCTCCGCTTATATAAAAAGCTCCAGCCTGAGACAGAGTCCTCCAAATTCTGATTGAGCAGCAATTACCAGCGCACCATCAACATACATAAATTCGCAACTTTAAATAAATGTAGACAACACGTTCTACTTAATTAAATAGACTTTTCTATAAATGTTTTCTCCTACAACATCACAGTGCAGCGGCGCATTAAATACGCACTACAATGACAATAGTCTTCTTGGTTCTTTCGGTAAAGTCACATAGAAGGGAAGTAATAAAATAATAAAAATAAAACATAATAAAATAAAATATAATAAAAATAAAACATAATAAAATAAAATATTATTTTATTATGTTTTATTTTTATTATTTTATTACTTCCCTTCTACGTGACTTTACCGAAAGAAGCAAGAAGATGAATCCCTGCAGTCACGAAAGCTTTAAATCGAAATGACAATAGTTTAAAGCGATTTGAAGCATGTTTTATTTTGGGGGGGGGGCAGAGCTTTGTGACGTCATATTTGAGGGGGGGGGTCTGACTTTTTGTGACGCCATGTGACGAGGGGGCGGGGGGGGGTCAAAATCGTCCAAAATCGCGTGACGTCATTTATGGACGGCCCCTAACTCCTCTGACCCACGTGGTGGGAGCCCTCGTCCAGCAATGGATTGTCACATGACTACATGCCTCCATATCTCATCACCCCAGCCCCCCAGCTAAGACCAAGAGACACAAAGCAGTGGAGGGGAACACACTTGACGGGTAGCAGCACAGGTGGGGACAAAGAGAGCAATGGGTGAAGCAGAAGGGAGAGGAGGAGGAGGAGGCGGTGAGCTCGTGGGGTGTGTGTGGTTGTGGTCGGCGTGTGGGTATATGGCTGGCAGCATGTTGGATGGCTCCACACGGGGGTAACATCGATTTCCGTGCGCTCAATATAAACCGCCCTCCCCACGTGAACACACCTAGCCTCCTCCACGACGCCATCCTCCCAACTCCCTCCCACCTCCTCGCTCTCCCGCCGGCGACCACTTAGCTTGCCTGAAGCCACACGCAACAACTTGCTCAAAGTGACCTTGGGACGAGCTCAGACCCACTGCACTCATGTGCGTGCGTGTCGTGGGGGAGCGGTCGTGTAGCAGCGGTGAGCGCGCTGCGCTACGAACCCGGCGACCCGAGTTCGATTGCCACTCATCCTCCAACGCCGGTGACGAATATTTTGAACCGGTTCTGAGCCTCCCCTAGGTCGACTCAGCCTCAATTGGCTACCTGGTGCGGTGTGTAAGCATCGCCACTAGGGAGACAAAGGCGGCCGGGCGTGGTGCTGGCCACCGACCCTACTCGCTGACAGCACTTGCCCCAACAGTCTGTTAAGGCTACACGGCGGATCTTTGTCTTTGAAGTACAGCCCTATATGGATAACTGGGAGTTCGTGGTCATTGGTTGCGAATAACAACAGAGTGGCAGTCAGGGGGAGAAAATGTGGCTGAGAGGGCATCGCCTGTGCAGATGGAGTGAATGAATGATCGCGTGGTGCAGGTGCTAAGGGGGATCGCTCCACCGTTGGATCGTGATCGATGGCGACGTCTTGGGGAGGCCTTCATCAGCAGTGGATTGCTCATGGCCAGTGGTGGTAATGATGATGATCTGACCAATCGTATCTTTTCACAGGGGCTTTTCTTCAACATGTCACTTGGAAAATATTCATCTTGTCGAAGACACTCTACGTATAATTGTGTGGTACGTACCAGTTTTATTGATCTCAGAGGGGATGATGGTCAACCCACGAACTTGGATTTTTACTCCCAGCATTCCAATTTTGAGCTAAGCCCTGACACCGTCACGGTAAGAAGATTGAGTTATAAGTAATATTTGCAGGTCTTACATGGACATTTTATTGCATTTTACTTTTTTGTCAATACAGTATACGAAACTGAAGTGTTTTAAAGGTGTGCATGTTCATATTTGTCTTACTTCATAAATAATATCGGAGCAAGATACAGTACTGCACAGGCACTTCAAGGCAACGTCAAGGTGACCCAAAGATGATCTCGTCGCGGTGGGGAGATGTTAACTTCCTCGCCTGGTATACAGGAGGTTGTGGGTTCGATCCCTACTGTGACGCCTGCTGCTGTATATTTGGAGTTTGCGTGTCTCTCTCCCCGTGGTCACGTGGATTTTTCTCCGGATCCTCCGGTTTTCCCCTCCATATAACACGCGTTTAGAGTATGTGGCTGCTAGAAATGTCCACGTGATAAGCCACTTCGTTGAGCTATCATTTGTGGCCAGGTCACTTCTGGAATAGAGCTATATAGTTTTTGTTTAAAAAAATATCAGTCAACACTGATCTCTATTGGTGGCCCTAAGACAATTATGACATATCTATGATTGTATGGTGGTGGCACGTTTATCCATGGAATGACCACTGTTGGATTCACAAAGTAGTATATATTTGATTGTCCCGAGAGAAATGATAGACTGCATTGACTCCTGACTGGGATTTACTTTCTGATTGTAACTTGAACATTGTGACACAATTTCAAACTAAATCATACGAAATCCGTTAAAAGTTTTAAATTGCATTCCGTACAATCCCATGTTCAACATTAAGAAACATTACACAATGCGGTATTGTGATCAATTTAGCAATGAGTATGTAATAAATAACTTGGAACAACAATAACAAATATACTGTATGAAATAAACATCTCAAATTCAAGTCAAAGTGTTTTCACGCTCAAACAAGCATTGGGTACTGTTTATCTCGGGTAGATCACCCCAGATGATCGTCGAGATTAACGCTTTGTTGACGGCAACGACGGTGATGATGATGTGAATAATTTATCCTGGCCAGCATAAAGCCATACAATCTTCCAACCGTGATGCTTGATCAAGTGAATTACACAATTACTACGT